CTTCGACTATTAATTATAGACTAATCAATGCATATTAGAACTGTCACATTTTTTTTTATCTAAAGCACATTTTTGAGTGTCCTCATTTTAGACACATCCTGCTCTTCCTCTTTGCGACTATTTTTTAGAATTTTATTTCTAAATAACGCATAAACTATTTATTAATCTTCCATTTTTCTCAAAAATATCTTTATTTGGTGTAGAGACGTTAACTTTTAAAAATTATGCTTTTTACAGCTTTAATCAAAACCTAATATTTTAACCTATTTTACCCGTTACCACTTTACCCCACAAGGTTATATTTATATAAATACGAATTTTATATTAGCTATCACTTTAAGGAACATATATATAATTATTGAATCACAATATATTTGCTAAAAATCTAAATTAAAGTAGAGTGATTTTTATAATATTTTGCTAAAAAATGGTTTTAATTTTAAATGCCATTTTTGAATGGCATTTCGTACAAAAAATATATTGTATGAGAGGTCTGCAATGAGCCAGTTTTTGGTCATATCGCCGCAATGACATATAATAATACCTAAACCGATGATGCATTCATTAAAAGTTTACATCAATGAAAAACAGCTGGGGACGCCATTTTGGCTACCCGTATCATTATTAAAAAAATTTTAACGAGAGGCCAATTGTGTTTGTATGTCTGACGCAAACTTTATTAAAGAATCACCTGACCATAGATGATAATAAGAAAGAAAGTTATCATTTTAAGAGTAGTTTTTAACATGACAATAATAACTATTATGGGTTACCAAAATGGCGGGTCCAGCTGATTTGCATTGAATGCATAGTCAGTCTTGAATCGCCTTTATTACAGGTTGGCTAAAATGTCAAACATTAGGCGGGTGGGTTAAAAATGTTTTTAAAATCATAAGCAAGGGAAAAATATTTTTAGGCAGGCGCGTAGCCAGCTGTTAGGGAGATGGGGAGAATTCCCTCCTCCACCCAAGCAATATGCAGATTGTAAGATAATTTTGAAAAATTGTAAAAGGCTTTTACGATTTAATTTAATATTTTTTTTCCTTGTGTAATAATATTTTATACCGCAAAAATTTTAGGTATATTATTTCTAACATTTTTTTTTTAAACACTGATGGATGTAAGAAAAATTTTGTCAACCATAAAGACTTAAGAGTACTATAATTTGATATAAAAAAATATATAAACCCCAATTAACTGATTATTCCTTAGTGCAATCTGAGGCATCGTTAATTATGCAGATAGAACTTTATATGCATTATGCAGCTCATTCACTTTCAGCCATATCTGATTCCTATTCTTGGCTGAGTCATAGGATATCGCTTAAAATATATTCTGTTCAATTTATTTCTAGCAATGTATACGAAATGTACAGATATAAACAAAGAGACATAATTTTTCCTTAATAGAAATATTTCTAAAACTTTTTGTGCTACAAGAACTAGAAGAAACTGCAAAAGGCATGCCCAACCAGATGGAGCTTACGATATCGAGCGGTTACCTCATTTTTCGATCTTACAACAGCCTATTTTGAGTGCCCTTGAAAAAAATATTGGAATGGTCAAACCTAATATTTCATCTGAAGCAGATACTTTATTGGATCCAATAAGGCGTTAGAGTTAAGGTCGAATATATTATTTAATTACACAACAATTTTGTGCAATATTTTTTAAAAGAATAATACTGATTTAGCGAAGACTACGAGAATCGCCAATGTTATTATATTGTTTCCTTCAAAAAAAAACTAAGAAATAGTAATTGACCATGAATTTCTTAAAATTTTTATTTTTGCAACCAATTTTTTGGATGGGTTTGAAATTTTTCAAAAGGAGGTATATATCATTAAATTATTTTATTTTCTGGCACCCCCACCCTTTACTTTCTGGAATCTTTTTCCATTTATTTCCTATAGGGATGGAGATTAGAAGGCATTTTCCGCTGTAAATATAATTAGACGTCTTTAGAACCACTTATTGTGCCACCTATGGATATGTAAAATTTTTATAAAAATAATTCTAATTTTTCACTTTATATTTATATAAATACTTTATTGATTTATATAGTCGTCGCTATTTTTAAAACATTATTAACCTTACTTATTTTTTCTTCCAAATTATTGTCTTACAAGTTATACATTGTAATATGCATTGAGAAAGGGGTGGGGGGGGGGGGTTTATATACTTTAAAATAATAATTTAAAAGAAGCAAATATCCGATTACAAACCTTATCTAATATTATGCAAGTAAACTTTTTATATATAACAAGTTTTATCTATTCATTTAGAATATTGTAATTGAAGAAATACACATAATGGAGCACACAGAATCATATTTTCCAAAATATTAAATTCATATTAATCTTTAGTGTACAACTGTATTTATTGTGCAAATATAGTTATATATATATTTTCCCATTGTTGCTATGTAGTATTTAAATAAAGTTATTATAATCGATGTGTTTACTTATATTTTTTTGATAAGTTTTGCAATGATTTGTACAAATAATTTATGAATAAATTAAAAAAATTTATTACCAACACTTAAAATATTTTTGACAGGATTTTTAATCCTAATTTTTTTTTTTAAAGGACTTGGATTCAGAAAGATCTCGTAGGTTGGCTCTCAGTAGTGTTGTTAAAAAACGGCTAACTCAACATTATAGCCAAGAAAATATTGCCTAAGTGTCGAGATTTCGCCAATAGATGTTCAATCCTATGTGCCATCTATGATAAAAATCTCTAAGCTTGCATGATATTTTTCTGGATAAAATATTGAGTTAGCCGTTTTTTGAAATCGGCTCAAATTGAGCCGTTTAATAACACTAATTCTCAGTCCTATTTTTTTAAAATCCTTCATGATATATCATATTTTGTATATACTTCACCTCGAATTTCACGCTAACTGTGAAAACGCCGGGTATACATCTTAGTGTATATAATAAAATAAAAATACGTCGAAATATTTCATGGCGACATTGTTGGGGTATTTGTTTTAGGCGAAGCTTTTTTTCCCCGCAGAGATCAAATGGAAAAATGTAAATCCTTAAATTTTTAAAAAGTATTTCAGCTATAAAAAAAAATTGAAAAATCCTATCATACGGATATTCCACCAGCATGTGTGATCCTTATTGTTATATATATGACAATATATAAAGTGATGATTAGTAAAAGGAGAAACAAAACATTCATTCACTATATGACGTAATTATAATTTTTTTTATTGCATTATTAATTAATCTTTTTTAATAAAAACTTATTTTGTGAAATTCGCCCCTCTGCGGGATAAGATACCTTACCCTAACTTTGCCTATATAAAATTTGAGACAACTTTGTAAGATGTTAGAAATATTGTCTGAATACGCGCATAGCCTGTATGTAACAAATAATTAGAAATGAGACCCCGAGCTTAACTCAACGAATGTTCAACTTAGTGAATATTAATATTTAAAATTCTAAACGAGCATATCTGAAGTAAAAGGTAGAATTAGAGATTAAGAGATAAGGGCTAGGATTCGGCAGCATCATCTTTAAAATGATTATTGACAATAACTAACAAAATTTCTAAGAAAAATGCAACCCCACCCAACTTCCGTTTCAACTTACGTTTAAGTTTTGGGATATGAGCTATCACTATTTTTAAGCATAAAATTGTGATTTTTACAGACATTTATTCTGAGTAATAGGATAAAAATTTATTATTTTTGGCGCGTGAATTACGGATGTTAAATTTGAACACTCAAATATTCTTCGAGTTCAATTTTAAAATATAAATAAATAAAAAATATAAAAGAGAATATTTTCTTTTTTTTATAAAGAGCGTACAAAATTAAAAATAGGGAAATTATATAATTTAAAAAAAATAATCGATTTTCGTAAAAAAAGTATGTATCGCATCTACAGTGGATGCAAAAATCTTTCCATTTTGGCTCAGCATTTTATACTCTATGTAGTATTCTTGAACGGTTAGCCAGTAAAATATAGCCTAGGCCTCGAGATTTCGATAATATATGTCTAGACCTTGGTTCCTTCCCTTAGCAGAATCTTCGGACTTGCATTATATTTTTCTGTAAATCAATGAGTTAGCCATTTTGAAAAATCGGCTCAAAACAAGCCATTTAACAACAATAACGACAGTAAGATAATAGGAAAAGTCTGGAGATTTTGATCCTAGATGGCACAAAAGACCTCGACATCTTAATTAGCGAGATCTAGAGAGCTTAGGCAATATTTTTATTAGGCTAAAATATTGAGTCAGCCCGTTTTTCAAAAACGGCTCAAATGGGAAGATTTTGCATCACTAGTCGTATCGAGTAATTATGCTGGTGTGTGTCTATCAGAGTTGTTAAAAGATACTTTTTAAATGGATCTAGATACAGATACAACGTCTAAAATAATATCTAGATACAGATTATTTAATCAAAAATCTATCTAGATACAGATACCACATTTTTATATCTAGATACAGATACCACATTTTTATATCTAGATACTTGTATCAAGATCCTTTAACAACTCTGGTGTCTATATATATATATATACAGCTTATCGTGGCGTCAGTCAATTAGCCCTATTGCCAAGTATATAAATTGGAAGCAAATTATCGGCAAATTCTATAGCATAAATATTCCTACGCCACGTAAACTAAAATGCATTATAGACAAAATGAAGATCAATTATAAAATAACACTTCAAAACAAATGGTTGCGTTATTTGCCAGCGTTTAATCATATATTTACAGCGTTTTTTTTAAACATTAATAGATTCATTTTTATTGGGGGAAACTGTATTTCAGCGTGATGCAAGAACTATCTGTATCCCATAAATTTTAAATAATTTCGTAATTTATTACGCGACTCGCCTAAGGCAATCCGCGTATTGACTAAATACGCGATTTGAGTATAAAATATAACGTGGACATATTTTTAATGTTGTATTTCTTCCATATCAACAATATAGTATTTTTTTTATTTATTTAAAATTCAAAGAATAAAATATTCTGAAATTTAAAAAAAAATGGACATGGAACACTATAATGCTCAGACGACAAAATATAGAAAAACAAAGGTTACATAATTATTAACAATTTATATAAAAATAAATAAAAATTGACTATAAAATGGCAAAAAATAATAATATTCTCGTTATTATTAGGTAGATATTTATTTAACCTTGAATTCATAGTGGCGCCATTGCGATGACGATTTAACAGCTGATCGATTTTTTTTAAATCTGTTTTAAGAAGATCAATTTTTATTTATTAATATTAATTTTATCTTTTAATTCAATTCATAAATGATTTTTAAATAAAGAAAAACTGATCTCATAAATCAGCTGTTAAAAAACGGTCAGCTGTTAAAATCGTGATGGCGCCACTTTTGAATTCAGAGTAATAATTCTAAACCTATATCCCCTTTTTCTTAAAAAAAATTCAGATTATGGCCCCTTGCTATGTCATAAAACGACAATTCAAACTCTTTTTTAAAAAAAAAAATGTCATATTAAATATATTTTTCCCCATTATTATAAAATTAAAATATAAAAATCTTTCATTTAAAAAAATATATATAAAAAATTATGGTAATAAATAAAAATATCGTTATTAGTGGATTAAATATTGCACATTATGTATTTTTTTTTTGTAAAAAAAAAGACAGGTTTTTTATATTACTCCTCTCGGAAAACCCGATTTGAGATATTTAAAAAAAAATCATTTTATACGGAATTCGCCTTAAAACTTCATAATTAAAATGATTTACGAGAAGATCGTTTCCGTCAAGTCATGAAAAGATCGTTCTTTAAGAAGATAGTCTTCAATCTATTATTATCGGATCCGCCGTTTATCAAGCGATAAAAAGGGGGCGTCAAAATAGGTTCCGCGACGCTATTATTGACGATAAAATTTAGGGGATAATCAGGATTAGGGTCACGTGAGGAATGTTCTTTTCGCATGTGGGAAACCTTGATTTTTTTTATTTTGGTCAATCGATTGAAGGTTTGTTTTATCAGACTCTCTTTCCCGCCACCAATATTATCGTTCTTAAATATTTTTCTACTATCCGTACATTTATTTAATGATGGTGTTTGAGTCGAGTCTCCGCCATTATAGGGTATCGGGTCGTCTAGACCTCCATTATGAATATTTAGGGTTTTCTTTTTGGCACCAACTACATCTTGGGGAATACATATGGAATCACCAAGTTTGTCGGCCTGGTGTTGTTGCGTGGGACTGGAAAAGGGTTGAATCTCTGGAAAATCGTGAATTGAATAATTAATGGTGGCGGAAGCGTTATTAAAGCTATCATTTCGCCCAATAACGTCATTCGCGGCCCTTTGGTCAACTTTGGGATCGTCATCGCGGATTGATACGCAGTTAAATGCATCGCTCATGTCAATGACACCATTTTGAACGATGGCCGCATTTTGGGTTTTCTGATAGCTCGCACCTATATCGCCGCCGTTTTCGCCATTACCACTTACATCATGGACACTAAATAAAAACGCATCATCCATATTTTTCTGCTCGCGAAAATTACGATGTTCACCGTATGTTGAAGTACTCGGTCCACCACTCCGAGCATTAATAGGATCGTTCTTTGAATCTTTTTCCTCGTTAAGATATAATAGTTGAAGATCGAATCCACTCGCATTTTGGAAGGGTGCAAAGTTCGGCGATAAGGAAGGGGATCGGTTCATAGTTAGTCGATTTAAACTAAGATCGTCATCAATGAAGCGACTTATCTCGTCCAACAAAATAACCATTTTTCCATCGGATGCGTCTGTAATTTCGTTATTTTACAAAAAAAACGTTACGATTTATAAAAATTTGCGCCCAATGGGATAAATAATCATCATTGAAAATCTTTCGATACTATCGCGAAGTGTCTAGATCAATTTATTTGATTAAATCACTAAAAAAAAAAATTTGATTTAAATCTAATTTTAATATTAAATTTTAAAAAAAAATATGCCCTAGATCAAAATAATTATTGGGGCAAAGTTTAATAATGGAAGCATTCATTTGTTTAAATGAATAAATCATTGCTAATCTAAGAAAATATTGAATTGAACAAAAAAAAGTATTTTATCATATTAATTATTATCAATATTTAATATTTTCCAACTAATGATCATTTAATAACACATATTAATATATAATTAAAGTTTCATGTTCTCAAAAAGAGATTAATTAAAATCAAATTAAATATTTTTACATTAAACTCAATATTTATAACTGCATGCGAATTAATATTTAGAAAAGTGTCATATCAACAAAATTACTTAAAGATTTCTGAAAACTTCGTTTAATGTTATTTATACGTAAACTCTTAAAATTTACATTTACAATAATGTTTCGATTTATTTAATTCATATTTAGTAAAAATGTGATCATAATAAAAAAGGTTTTATTTGGGAAAACAAAACAAAAAAATATTAAAATATATGCTAACGACATTAAATCAATTTGCTTTAACCAAGCCAACCCTAGTGGGTGATGAATGACAAGATGTCAGGCAATCCTTAGAGATCAATTCTTTTTAATATATATAATCAGAAATTTACCGTAACCAATATTTTGTATAGGGCCGATACAATTAAATTTTACCGATACAAAAATTTTATTTTTTTAAAAAAGTCTATATTAACGCTTATAAATATACATGGACAAAAAATTGGTATAAAAAACTACTTTAACCCGATAAAAAGGAGAGAAATTTACTAAAAAGATAGATCAGTGAATGTCCACTTATAATAAACTAAAAAAATATCATTCGTAACCTTTGCGTAGAGGACTAACCATGGAAATGTTTCTCTTATCGCCTGTATCCCAAAAAATTAGGGAACCATCATTTGACGCCGATACGCCATTTGTTGGTGCAGCGTTATCGTCGCGATAACGATTACCAACGGCAAAATTACTTGTCGCGGTTACATTTAAGCCCCTTCCAATCACGTTATTAACATCGTGATCATCGGAATGCGTAACCCTTTTACCCCCAAAATTTTCGCTAAAATTAGTATCGGGTGAATAAGGGTTCAAATTCTTGCTATAAGCCAACGCCTTTTCCTTCAGGCAATCCAATAAATCAGGCAGGCGAATGTTAGCCTCTGCCAGTCGTCGTAAAATATAGTCAGATCCCCCTTTCAGGTGTAGAGCGTGAACCAAATATTCCAATTCTTCCCTTCCCTCCTCGTCTTCTTCCACATGATGGCTATCTAGGTCGCCGCTTCGAGATATATCGCTAACAGCGAGTGTAGTTGGTAATGCGCATGTTCGCATTGTACATTCTTTATGATCCCCCGTGTAGCGTGATTTATCATGACTCGATACCATCTCTCTGGTGCTAACGTTTCCTTGTTCCGAGTCTGCTAAATTTTGAGAAAGGTGATAATATGTCGGTTCCGTGTGTTGGGAATTGTCTAAATTAAATTGATCTGTACTAGTATTCTTTAAATCCTTAGTAGGATGGGTTTTAAAATGGTGGAAATTATTTGGTATCGGGTGCGTTTTAAAGGTTTTAATTATTTCATCATTTTGGCCGTTGGGATATTCAAATGAATTTGAATAACAATAATAATCGTATTCGGCTAGATCTTCCTTCGTTTGAGCAGACGATAAAACCGATTGAGAAGACGATAACATATATTCCTGTGATGCAAATATTATCTCTTGTATAAAAAAAAATGATGTAAGTTTAATATTCATTGTTCTGTCTTAATACAAATATTTTAAGAATGTGGATTCTTTGCATTAAAAATTAAGAACATTTGAAAAAGGTTATTTGAAAAAAAAAACAAATACTTGTTATACTTGTTTTTTTCAGTTTTTTATTACGATTATTACAATCTTCGTGGAAAATAGATTCTACCAACATTTTAATTATTACTAAAAATCATCTTATCAATAATCTACTAATATTTTGTCGACATAATAATACTTATATTATTTTTGTTTATTTATATCTTCTCTTCTCTTCTATAATATAGAAATGTTATTTTAAAAAGGTCAAATGATTGCCGTGGTCTGTGGGCCAAGATTTATTTTTTGGCCAAAAATTATTTATATTCATTATTTAAAAATAGAATAGCCATTGTAATAAATTTGGATAATGTAGTCACTGCCTATATAGGAGTGGATAAGCAATAAAACTTTATGAAATATTAATTGAATCTATTAAATACACAATCATTATATATTTTCGTACGTTTAAAATAACTTTGAAGGAGAAGAAAAAAAATACTTTGCAATAAGCAGGTGACTTTGACACTTTCGAAGAAGTAGATGGTATTACCGTTTCCGGCGGCAAGGCAGAAGATATCGACATTTTGTGAAAAGTGGATGTCATCATAATTTCCGGTTGAGCAGATGATATGGACACTTTATGATGAGCAGCATTGGCTTCCGTAAAAATAGGCTTTGAGATATTAGACGATGTTAATGCGACAAATGATTCACCATTTTGTTCGACATCTGATTGCTTTATTGTGGTGGAAGATTGTATCTTGTGAAAAGTGTTCGGTCTGGTAGAGTGTTTGGTCGCAGAAGGCGTAGATGATATGAGGGCTTCAGATATTACGGGTAAATCTGATAATATCGTCACTCGAGGTAGAGGAACAGTAGACAAGATTCGCATATTGGATTGTAGAGTCGCAGGAATCGACATTTTTAGTTCAGATGAAACAAGTGACATGGTAGTCTCGGGTAAAGATAAAGTGGATGGTACGAATATAGACGGGTGGTCACCCTGAGGAGGATGATCGTGAACCAAGATGGCGACTGTGACCAAGTTTTTGAAAGATGTATCTGTGTTGAAGTGTTCCTCTGATACTGGTTGAGAATAAATATAAATTGTTTACGGGGAAAAATATATTATATTTATATTTCAGGTGGTTGTGTTCTGAAAAAAAATTCATTAACCAATCAATTTCATTCAATAAAAGATAACATACTCCTCTAGTAAAAAACAAAAATAAATATCGATATAGGTTTAAGGCCATTTGGTGAAATTACCTAACTTGTGAGATTTGGACGCCGAATGGATGTCAATCTTATCTTGCCTAGGTAGCGTGTCATCGTTAACGTCGCTTTCTGTGATTGGATAGTCTCCACCTTGGCGTGACATTGAGCCGGCTAAGGAATATTCGTGCCTGTCAATAGTTGATGGCTCGGGAGTGTTGGGTAACGGGATAGTTTCCGTAGAACTAAATATTTCACGGATTGTAATAGTTAATCATTTTAAAATAAATCGTTGCCCCCACCCCACTCGCCTAATATCGTCGCGGGTTTCGAATCCGAATTGGGAAATTTAACGACAACCCATAGAACCGAATACATTTTTGAAGGGAGGTGGGCCGGGTTCGGACCCCTTCCAGAAAATCAGTCTATATTAGGTTTTTTGCTATAAAAATTGTTCTTCAATCCCGTCATTTACTCTTTATTTCCTTCCCCTCATTTTTTTTTGTTACACCCATCTTCCTAACCTAACACTTACTAAACGAGAAATATGTCAAACTTATCTCGCGTATTCACCACCATAGTTTGCTTTTCCAGGTCTCTTTTGTATTGCAATTTAGACATTTCTATCGCGATCAAGATATCCAAGTCGCCCTCGTGAGAAGGCGGCAGGCTTTGAGAAGCTACGCAAGAAGGCGCGTTGTGCGGTTCGGAAGAGGATAAATTATCTTTATATAAAAAAAAAAAAATTAACCTAGAAAAAAATTAAATTAATTCCTTCATTTACAGCAGGGATCCGAGGGCCAGATCTTAGCCCGGAGGGTTGATGGAAAAAAATATATTAGTATTCACGTAGGGTCAATGACATAAACCTCGAATTGAATGTGTCGCAATCTCAAAAAAATTGAAATAATTTTATGCAGCATTTTTGTAACATGATAAATCTTTTATAAAATTTGATCCAATAATAATAATAATAATAAAGATCGTAGGAGTTATTATACTGGTGGTCAAAAATCAGAAGATACATTAATACCGATATTCGGTAAAGGCATTCTTCCTTCCTTTCCTTCCCTTTATTCTATTCTTTCTTTCTCGCATTCTTATCTGGTCAATATGTTTAGCGTCTAAAAAAATTTGACTCATCCTCCGTGATGTGATTAGGAATTTTTTTTTAAATAAGCTCTAATAAAGGTAAAACTTTTATAGTTAAGAGATACAAAAAAAGTATCTTATCCGTAATGCAGGAGTAATAATGCTTCTTAACAAGTGATCCAAAGTTTCCTCAAAATTATTTATCCTCGAATTATAAAGATGTTGAATGGGCTATATATATATTTGTATTTAAAACCGTTAACGATAGCCTCTGAATGATTCGTAGTATCTTCGTAAGCGTAATCCATTTGGCAGCACTTGAAACTGCAAAAGCTTTGCAGGCATCCTGTTCTAGGATTGAAAACCTTTCTTCGCCGGCACCCCTTCCTTTGACACTTCATATCCGAAGACGATTTAACTAACAAAATTTACATATTTAGAATCAGGATGTTATATTATTCATTAGAAGTGGACGCGGCGCAAAATAGAATATATTGTAAAATTCTGGTCTGCCACCTAAAAAATTTCGCGGGTTTTCCGGCCAACCCTAAAAATCTTTTTCGTCTGGGGACCAGAGCGCCGACTTCCAATTATCGAGTCAACAACAACAAAAAGGTCGAACAAAATGTATACACGTCTCGTACTATTTTTATTAGTTTCTTCCCCAAAATTCCCTTTATTCCCATTTCTTGCTTCTTCCTTCTTGTGATCAGCATCTTCGTGAACATCATCATCGTCCTCGTCGTCTAAAGGCGGCGGCCAGTCGTATATGGCCACTAAGTTAGCGTGCCGACCAGATTCGTCCTTGACCCATAAACTACGTTTGGATGGATCTTAAAATTATATTTCATTTTTATAAAATAAATAAGAACCTTATCGAGCTATTAGAGTACATTAGTAATAGACTTCGTATTCTAATCTTCAATCTTAAAATTAAATAAGATTCTTATAATATTGAGATAATTCGATTTAGAAAATAAGAGAAACCCAATAAATTCATTTCTAACATGACTTATTTTATTCTCCTCAATAGTGTTATTGAACGGCTCGTTTTGAGCCGATTTTTAAAAACGGCTAACTCATTATTTTAAAAAGAAAAATATTGCCTATAAGTCTCGAGATTTCAATAATATATGTCTAAACCTTTGTTCCTTCTATGAGAAAAATCTTCGGGCTTGCGTAATATGGTACTGGGTGTAATATTGAATTAGCCGTTCTTAAAAATCGGTTCAAAACGGGCCGTTTAACAACACTTACTCCTCAATATGTTCTTACAAATGACTTTTTTTTACGGATATGACTAAACTGCAAAAATGTCAAGGTAAATTGTAGATGAAACAATTTTGATATATACTCTATTAATAGAAATGAGATTCATTTTCTTATATATAAATGTTATGAAGGTCGTTGTTTTATGATTAATTCATTTTTTGTGATGAAGATCTTTTTTTTTTGATTATTTTGCGCAATCATTTAATATATTATTATTATTTAAAAAAAGGATTTGTTTAAAAAATTGTTTATTTTTAATATTAAATTTATATTATCAATTAATTTATATTTATTTTTGTAAGTAGATATAAAATTTCAAGAAAAAAAAACGAAATAAAATAGAGGGTTTTTTTTTCTTCGACAAAGGCTTGCCATAGCAATCCTTAAAGCTAACTACATTCGCTTCAATGGTAGTCTACTAGCCAAAGAGCTATCCTAGACCCTTTTAGCAATCCTTAAAGCCAACTACATTAGCTTCAATAGTAGTCTACTAGCCAAAGAGCTATCCTAGACCCTTTAAGTAATCCTTAAAGCCAACTACATTAGCTTCAATGGTAGTATACTAGCCAAAGAGCTATCCTAGACCCTTTCTACATCCTATTTTTTTTCCTCGTGTTGTACCATCCCCGGTTTTCATTGTTTTGTTTTTCTCAAAGTTTTTGGCACATATTCCTTTTGAATAGATTTTATTTATACGTTCCATATATTCATTATCTGTTATTATACAATTGTCTTCCAATTTTTTTGGAAAAATTAAATTTTATTGAGAAATTATTTAAGAATAAGGTTAAAAAAAAGCCAATATTTTTATTCTTTTTAATTAATTAATTTATAATAAATAATAAAAAATTAAATTATTAGATACAGTATATTCAATGATAAAGGAATAAGGCGCCAACTTGCGGCTTTAATCTTATTGAAATTTAAAAATGTAATTAATAGCTATTTTTTAATATAATTATATTAAAGGATTTTAAAATGAAAGAATATACAACTTATTATATTTCATTATTATTTAATATGTCTTATATTTTAATTTTTTATAAGTTATTTTATATCACAAGAAAACGAACCTCACTTTGTTATATTAACTGTACAATATTTTATTTTCGATTGATTTTTTAATGTTTATATAACAGTTGTTTAAGGCGTTATTTTTGATAATGTATTTTGTTCAATTGTGACTTAATAATTAGACATTATAATATATTTTTAATTTTTGCATTGACCCAAATGTACCATCTAATCATAACGTCGATGCCCTCGCCCTTCAGAATCTCGGAAAACCATAAAGCACAGTTCCTTAGATCCTTGATACTTATTCATACCCATCGCCTGCTCCATTCTCACCACCTTCGGTACAAAGCTCAACGTTTTTTTCAAAGAATTAGGCAAACGGATTCGCGAAAAAACCGACCAGCCTAATCCCTCTTCTTACGCCAAAGACTTGCTACCACCATTATTCGCTCTAACTATCTAAGTTTCATCTCTTCCATTACCTTCCATATTCCTAGCTCCCTTTTTTTTATCCCCTATCCTTTCCCGTAAATTCTATTTCTACATTTAAAAATTGATTATTTGCTACTAACATTTTGGCAACATATCATATCAGTTAATATTCAAATAAAGGTAACCCATGACCGAAAAAAAAAATTGTTTAAAAAGAAAATTAAATTCTTTTATATAATGTCGTAAGGAGGATTCGAAATCTCGATTTTAAATCGTTTACTAAGGGCGATTTTTTTATTTTAAAAATCTGATTTTTCTGGAATTGTATCATGTGCTTTAGTAAAAAATAAATATAATATTTACCGATTAAAAGCTGTCCAACAGTCAGCTGTTCTACAGACAAAATTGGGCTCTAATAAATTTTCTATCAAAATATCCTTCATTCTAACAAAATAATTAGATATTCTTAAGGTTAAATAGTGTATTTACCCCATAAATTTCAGCCATAGACATTTTAGTATCTTTTTTTAATTTATGTGAAAAATGCATTTAAAAAATTGACATAAAGAAGTAGTTCTAAAGTTCATCGCAAAATTGTTTGAGAGATTCCGAATCCTATACGACATGAATAAAAACTTATTTATTTAACATCCTAAATCCAAATATACCATAGCAGTTTAGTCAAACCGTTTATATTGCTATTTTAAATAATTTCTTTCTTTCTACCATACGAGTAACTAAAAATTTTGTGTTGGAAAAAGCAGGGAGGGGGGGGGGGAGGGGGTGGAAATTTTTTTTTTTATTTATTAGAACTAATCGATATAAATTTTCTATTACCAATCATATCAAAAAAATGTCAATTTTGAACACAAACAATAAAATATTGATATAATATTGTTTAAAAAAAATATTATAGCTATAACCGGGTATTCTAATTTGCCATATAAAAAAATATTCGCGTTTCTCGAAAGCTTTAGCCAAATCCATATTGTTCTTTTTTTTGGAAAAGTATCGCAGAAAATTGTGGTGTAATTAAATATTTTATTAATATATTTCCGATGCAAAAAAATATTGGCTGTCGTATTGAATCTAATAATGTATTTGTTTCAGATGAAATATCTGATTCAGGTCATTTTAATATTTTTCCAAGGGCATTCAAAATAGACTTCTCTAGATCAAAAAATGCCTGTAACAGGCTTCAGGTCGAAGGTTCCATCTTGTCGGGCATGCTTTTTACAGTTTATTCCTTTTTGTAGCACAAGAAGTATTCAGAAATTATTCTATTCAGCAAATTCTTCTATCTCAATGGGTATTCTGAATGTTCTATATGTTTTAGAAATATTGCCTAATTCATAGTTACGAAAAGTTTCAAATTTAATTTATTTTGGTTGACAAAATTATCTTGTTACTCATTCAATGTTTAAGGTATTTAAAAGAGAATACTTTGGAATTCATCCACCATCACCCTTTCTCCCACTCTGGTCACGTGCCCGATTCCTTTTTTTTATTCCTTTCCTCTCTACGTTTATTTTATGTAGCTAATAAAAATGCCATGTTTGAAAAAAAAATATTGTCGGGAAAAAAAATAGATTATCACATGATACCAATGTTTTAAAAAAAATTAAAATTTTGCTATTAGAATTGTAACCATTAAAATCGATGTTTGAAGCAAAATCGAATCAAATATGTTTAAAAATGGTTATATCTGATGTTAAAAATGGCTCATTTTTCTTAGAAACAGCTGACCAAATATTTTCGCTCCAAAAAACATTATATCGCAACCTGAAGATTTCGCTCTTAAGATGGCAGAAAAGGTTTGAACGTCTATTAACGAAATCACGAGGCCACGCATAATATTATTTTTGGGCTAAAATCTTAATTTTAAAAATTGGCTAAAACGAGGGAGTCGTTTAACAACACTAGGTATATCAAATTATTTTTTTTAAAAAAAAATAGAGAAAAAATTATATTCAAATTTTACATGATGTCGACGGTCCGACGCCCTTGAGTTTTTTCCCGTGTTGCAGGGACGAAAACTGGAAATTGTTTAGCACCCGCTGAGGCAAGAGCGACAGGTCGTCGTCAAATTTGGGGAAAAAGGCGCGCGACCCCTGATCGAGATCCGGAGACCTGGGGGAAACTCTTTGAGAGTTGTGCGAATTTTGCGAACTCGATTTGGCCGAGCGAAGAAAAAGGCGCGAAAAACGTGAAGGATGACTGTGATAACTCAACAAATTTCTCTTTCGAAATAATAAGGGTACAAAAGAAAATTAGTTTCGGGTTGGAGAGCTCCTTCGGAGAGAATAAGAGACCCACTTATTAAAACAATGTTTCCCTTATTATGATATTGATAGTAGAAATTAAGTAAATTATTATATTCGTTCTGGCATCGATAATACTATTATTTGAGGTTTAGATAACGAGGCTTGATAAACAATATGTAGCCTGACTTAGATAGAGTAGGGGGAGATTGGGGTTAGATAAACCAGGGGACTGGCAAACCATTTAATCTCGTTTCAAATTAAATAGACTTAGAAAGTTTAAATTTTATCTCATAATATGGCTTTTTATTAGCATACATCTATCAACAAAAAAATGTTTTGAAAGAAATTAAATAATATTCTATTCGTTCTAGCATCGATATACTATTATTTATGATTTAGATAACAAGACTTGATAAACAATATGAAGTCTGACTTAGATAGAGAGTAAGGGAGATTGGAGGCTAGGTAAACCCCCGGGGATATATAATTTCCATGCCCAGGTTTTGTAACAAAATGAAGGAAGATGAGGATTCTTAAGTTCTCCATTGGTTATATTTTTATTTTTTTTAAATAAAACTTTACGGCCTTATGACTCCGATATATTTATCTTTTTTCGGAATTTAAAATTCAATAAATATTTCGTGATTTTGGCTTTATAACTACGTGGTGCCCAAATCGAAGTTATAGTCTTGCCCTCTCTTTCGTTCAACATAAATTCTAGACTCTGCATATCATGCGCGCCAAAAATCTCTGTCAAAAAATAATAATTATAATTTCAATTCCATTTACCAAATATTTTCTGCTGGGCTTGATTTTGGGATGGGTGTTGGCCGAAATCTTTAGATGAGAATTCATGACGGAACGAGAATACATCAAAAAATCTGAGATGTTACGATTCACTCTAAAATTCTATTTTTTTCAAAAAAAAAGAAGAAAAATATATAAATCTCTTAAAAGGATAAGATAAAAATTGATAGTTGAAAAGAATTAGAGAGAGATTAGAAATAAAATGGAAAAAGATAGATAAAAATAGAATTCGAAATACGAAAGAGGTTGGAATAAAATGGAAAAAAATAGAAAAAATAGAATAAGAAAGAGATTAGAAATAAAAGAGAAAGCCGAATAGAATTAGAACGAGATTAGAATAAAATAGAAAACGTTTTTAAAAATGAAATCTGGCCAACCTCGTCATCCCTCAGTGATTCGATGTCCAAGAGATTGGGGAAATGTTTCCTCCTGAATTTTCTGAGCAAAGGCGGAGTTTCATCTTGATCCCTCGCGGTACGCCCTATCCTATTGCTACTACAGTTATTGTAATAATCGCTGTAGGATGAGTGATGGTTATTATCATCGCGGTGTTTGAAGTTCAGAGCGCTCAAAAATTCTTTCCGTTTGCGGTAAACCAAGTGGGCCATTTGTAAAATCTTGATCCTGGCGCAGCCGAGGTAAGGGGTGGATAGAAGCTTGGAGAGATTCTCTGTACATTCCTCCAATTCGTGCTATAAAATATTCATACATTCATTTCATTAGATTATAATCCGTTTGGCGTTTCTCTCTCTCTCAACCTTACTTTCTTCGGGTTTAGAAAATAGGGGGGTTAACTAGAATGTTCCTCTTGTAATAGATTGTGTTATCTTGCATTGAAAGTTATGGCGAAGCATACATAATTACACAAAAAAAAATTAACAGCATATTTTGTATACTACTTTAACCGCTAATTAGCGCTACTATGAACGCGGGGTTAGACGTGGATAAATTCTACGCCGAAATATTTTGTTCCTCCGTCGTTACCGTTAAACAAATAACTCACTAATGATCGAGCTTTGGATATAGAAAATTTGAGAATTTCAAATTTTGAAAAATAAATATTAGCGTTTTCTAATCCCGTTCAAATGGCGTGATTTGTGATGACCATTTCCTGCCCATATATTTCATTGGAGGATTGTGAGCCCCACTTACCGCGGGCCTTTAGCGTTAGCGGAATTGAGTAAAAAGTGTTAGTTTTCTTCTTAAATATTAAAATTGCATGCGCACAAATAATGCCTTTCTAACGGCCTCGTGCAAATTGGTAAAATTATCGTTTGGCGTTAGCAACCATTTTTTAAAAAACGCGAATAGGTTTGCCCTGCCCTTTCATTACTCTTTTTTTTATTCTTCGCTTCGTAATATTATATATAAAAGTGTAATATAAATAACTTACTTATTACTCCTAAAGGAATATAGAGAAATTAAATAAATAAGAAAGGCAGACGATAATACAATTTTCAAAGACGAATTCTTTTTTTTTTTAGAACTTATTTAAAATATTGAAAACCTCAATTTAAACAAGGGACGCGTTACGTAAACGCTCAATTTGTGCGCCACTATAAGATAAATAGTTTTTTGCCAATAAATAAAAATCGTGTACCAATAAAAATTGGAAGATAGTCTTGTTAAAGGTGTGACTGGTAGCCACTCCACCTTTTCGTCCTCCTTTGTGCCCGACGATTTGCGAATTGTCGTCATCCATTTTGTCGCTAGAATTTGAAGTCCTAGTTTTACTACCCGCATGGCCATTTCCGCTATCGCCATTTCCTGTTAAGTAGTAAGCGTATACGACGGAACATTTGCATGTACGCCGAGCCTTGATCAATTGATTCAGGGCCACGAATAGGAAAGAAGTATCAATAGCTTTAGTTTCCATTTTGTTTTTTAAAAATCAAAAATTATATTAAATTGCAAGCAATTAACAGGCATTAGATTGACCATTTCTTTGATAAACCCCCTCTAAATGGACACGTTGGGGGGGGGGGGAAATGATGTTAAGAATTCAGTATATTAAGTTTTGAAATGATATTTTAAAGAGATACGAAAACGCTATATAAATGGTTAGGTATTAACAAACTTTTGATATGACGTCGGTTAGCACCACTTGTTTCATCGGTTATTTGTGAAGTACCCGGTTCATCTCCTTCGTTCCTAGTCGTTTCTTTTTCCCCGGCTAAAATAAACGTTATATAGAGGGGTGTTTAGGACCTATTAAAATATTTATTTTGCGTTTTGGGGAAGTTATTGTGAAGGGGGGGGGGAGAATATGGGTTCTGTATATTCTAATTAAACTTTTTTTTTTAATTGTCTCGAGGTGTAAAAAAGATAGACCTGAAGTCCCGGCTCTAAGCCTGGCCGTGTTTTAATTTTTTTAAATTTTACCAGGGCCGTCGGGCTCTATATTTCAAAACCAAATATTTGAAATCGCCATTTATTAGCTGTAAAAAATCAAAAATAAATAAAATATAATAAAAAAAAATCCGGGCTGGGCCTGAAAATTTTTTTTTAAAGAAAAACCAGGGCCGGATAAAATTTTTTGAAGAAAAATCTGGGAACCAGAGCCGGAAAAAATTTTTGAAAAAAAATCCGGGCCGAGCCGTACAAATGGTATATCTGCTGGTCTCTGACATATTTATATATAATATTCGAAATTTTTTTTTTATTAAATGAGTTCACTTTCGAAAACAAAAGCGATCAAGACTAAAACCTTCGGGATCGCCGTTAGATCGAGCACTTTCCCTCGAACGCGGGTTGACGAACATCGAGCCGTACCTGTCGTAAGATCTCCTCAAACTTACGCACTTTTCGAGCAATAACGAATGCAGCCGGCCTTCCTCGTAAACTAACCTATTTTCGTGTCCTTTAAATCTGGTTATAATACAAAAAAAAGGTTTCATTTTATTTTGTCTTGGGGTGCAAAATATAATTTTTTGGGATTAAAATATTTATAATTATAAAGACTCCTGTCAACAAAAGCAAGAAATGTTTGACATTAAAAAATAAATAAAAAAACAATAAAAATAAATTAAAAATAAAAAACAAAAAAAAAAAAACTGAACCAAAAAGGTATGGTCGTTATAAATTTACTATTTAAAAAAAAAATGGCAAATGAAAGCTAAAATTTTTCTAACTTTTTTTTTAAGAAAAAAAAAATCGATATATATTATCTCAAAGATGGTGTTAAAGTGTTTCAAAATTAAATTTTATGATCCTCATTTTTTTAGAGCTAGTTCGAAAACGTGTATAAAATTGAATAATAAATTATTCGTGTTCGATTCTTTTAGGAACTAATCTAATAATTTACTATCCGTATTTGTAACGAATAGTAAATAAAGGAATAATAAACCGGTTCGCAAAGAAGAATCTTTATTTTTAAATAATCCTAGTCACATACATTTCATGTTGGCATGCCGTTCTTTTTATAAGGACTATTCAAATTTAAAATCAAAAAATATTTAAAAAAATACATCTCGCTTTCGATGAGGTATCAATTTCAATGTAATGAGATGTAACTTGTTGTAATGCGTCAAGAATCTGTGGAGTCTAGACGTTTTCAAGTGGTGAGATTTGACCCGCTCCAACGCTAAGGAGATGGAGCGTTTCGCTCTGGAAGCTGCTTCGTGTCTTTGGCATCTAAAATACCCTCCGGTGGAAGATCCGTGCTTTTTCCACGATTCCAAGCACACCCAACAAAAGTCGAATTTACCTTATCATTGTAAGGAGGTGAGGGGGGGGGGTTATATTATAACTTGTAAGAAATAGTTAAAATAGATGAGTATTTTTTTAAGCATCGTTTCTAATCTTCTTTCCTTTTCGGCCTATTTTTCATTTTCTTTCCATGATAGCATTATATATGTATAAGTTTATTACATTTGTAACAGCGTATATGATTGCACCCTTCGTGTTTCTGGATGGGACTCTTACACCTAGGACATGGCTTAGAATGGGTCGCTAGCCAAAGCCTATTAGCCACGTTTTCGAATTCTTCTTCGGCTTGCTGGGCCGTTAGAAACATTCCGGACTCTTTGATTTTCCGATAAAAAGATATTACCGATTAGTAATTATTCATTATTAAATGGAATTGTTACAAATTAATAATATAGTAATGATATCAATGACTTCTCGAGATAATATAAATCAGGATATGAAACCGGAAGTGGAACCCTCGGAACCGGAAAGGGAACCATCTTTTAACGTTTAAAGCAACTAGAACCGAATTTACAAACTAAAAAAAATAATGTTATCACCCAAAATGATTAACCAGTGCCAATCATTCAATATTAAGTTCCATTTACCGTGAGATATATTCTGATAAATTTTTATATGAAATATAATATTTACAACAACAAAAAAATGTAAAGGAGGTTTTCACTATGAGCATGCGCATAACACAAACGCAAAAAATCTTCTGATAACGATGATCAAGCTAAAACAAAATTGGGCATTCAAAAAATGTAAAGGCAAATTTTGCGGAAGCATAAATCTAAATCCATTTCTGTGTTCAAAAACTTTTAAACTTTACATCTTTTTTTAGACCGTAAAATCCGTAAGTTTTTCAATTACAACTTTCTTTCTTTCTTTTCTATCTTTCTTTCATACTTTCTTTCTATACATTATGGCCCATGGTTCAAACTTTACATTGTATTTTCTGGCTCGGTAAGTTCTTAGAGAATTGGTTTCAGACCGAACTGGATGAAACCTTATAGAAAATTATGGTTTAAAAAATAATAAACAAAAAATTTTAATTTTAAATTCATTCATTTTTTCTCACCCTCCTCTCCACACCTCTCTTACTTCCGTATTTCTTTTCCGGGTTATGATTAATGGCTTCCATTTCTCTCGCGCCGCTTTCATCTTTAAATTCGTCCATTTCCTTTCGTTCTTCGTCGCCAACACTATTTTTAGGCGGTATTTCGATTTTTTCTTCGCGTTTCGCGTCGTTTTCTTCGTTATTTCGCCCGCTTTTGATACGTTTTTCGATTTTAGTAGCTTTCTTGAAAGAACCGTTTCGTTTGCCTAGAAAAATCGATATTGATTTGTATACCTTTTTAAATTTTTCAGAATTTGGAACCGGAAACTCTCTTTCAATAATTCTAGGAGCCCCAGGAAGTAGAACTTATCTCAACAAAAAAATGCTACCAATTTAATTTAAACTAAAAATTTGAATGATGAGTTCCCTGCGAATCAAAAGCGATCGTAAGAAAACCTTTTGGGATCGGCGTTAAATCGAGGACTTTCCCTGGAACACGCGACGACGAACATTGAGCCGTATCTGTAGTAAGATCTCCTTGAGCTTACTCACTTTTCGAGCAATAATTGTATAATGTTGTTAAACGACTCCGGCTAAAGTCAATGTTTTATCCGCAAAAATATTACGCGCGTCCGAAGATTCGCTCATAAGATGTCAGAAAGGGAGTGGACAACTATTTTCCGGGCTAATAATATTGAGTTCTCCCTTCTTAAAAATCGGCTCAAATCGAGCCCGTTTAACAAACACCAATGCTGTATGATCAATATTTAGGGGGTTTATTTTAGTGTTCCAAATTTTTTTTTCCCCACCAAGGAAAACTGAAACACTCGCCGCCTGATTTTCAGTCCAGTTATGAAAGTTACGAATTTTTTATCCCCCACCCCCAGTTTTATTCAATAAATTTAATCGTTACCTTCGTCATCAAAAAGACTTTTCCTTTCGCGAGGTATACCCATGATGGTTCGGCGCTTCATTCGATATTTAGGCGTATCTTTCCTGCGATTTGCGTCAATGTCATGGTTGTCAGGGAGAATTTGATCGATTTTGGATAGCTCGAAGCCATTTTCGCGATCGTAGCAATCTATATGATGCCCATTACCAGGACCAATGAAGGGGCTTATGCGCTTTTTGTCGCCGCTATTTTTGGGTTTAGCGGAAAAGGATTGGCGGATTTTAATGTTGGGCTCGGACTTTCTAGCCATATTTTTGGACAAGATAGAACCTAGTTTTAGGCGTAAAAAAAGAGAAAAAAATTAGAACCAGAGGTATGTAAAACCCGACCCAACTGGAAAACACTGCCCGCGGGTTTAGATGAGTAATTGTGTTTTCTTTTTATTTTGGGTCGGCTCTTCCTATGAGCCGGGTCTTGGATAGGTGGAAAAAATTTGCCACTTGCAGGTCCCAGGATTACCTAGTGAAAATTATCAATATTACAACAAAAAAAATGAAAAAATAAATGTATCTATAGATTGTGGCGTAAACTGAATGAGAGTTGGGTGTGAAAGAACGATGTCGCACCCTGACTAACCCCCACCCCAAATTGTGATTAAAGGGAAGTCAATAAACTAAAACTTAAAATCTGTTCTACCTTCCTTGATATCCGTTTTGGTTAAGATCCCTGGTTTATCGTCGAAGGTCGTATTATGATGATTACCATTAGAATCGTTTATAAAGTTATCGTAGCAATAAGCGCGCGATATCTTTCGGGCCCATTTTCTCATGACTTGGCAATGGCAAGGGGCATGAGGGTCCTCACCGCAGGCCCAGCAAAAAGCGTGACTTTCAGGGAAAATTATTAAGGACGACTTCATATTTTGGAGGTTATCGAGATTTTGGCAGACCTTGGCGCGTTTTTTAATCGTAGACACCCGCGCCATATTTTCTGGGTTTGAAGGATTTTCGTAAAATATGGCTCGTTTTTCTGAATTCGCGTCTAGCATTATATCGTCGTGATAGCCCTCCATTTTTATTTCGATAGCATTTGTGGAGTTGATTTTTAAGGGAAGATTCAAGGGAACCTCCATATGTTGGTAAACTTTCGTAAATTTAGCTGTTTCGGCAGGTTTTCCGGAATTCGGGCCCGATAATTCGACGTTGCAACTTTTTTCGTAATCTTATTTTTATATTATGCAAAAAGATTCATTATTATTTTTTCCCATAAATAAGTTAAATTCGAAACACATACACTTAACTGTTGCGACTTATTTTTTTAAATTAAATTATTCTAGGATAAATATTGTTGGAACTTATTTTATTCAAATTATTTCACGAAAGAAAATATATAAATATAAAATTACGAAAACGGAAAACTTTTTTTTTTTTAAATAAAATAATAATTTTTTAAAATTAATTATCATTATTTACAACATCTCACCCCCTTTATTTGGGATGAAGATATAAGTTTGATTCCTAATTTTTCTTCTTCAGGGGTTGGCTATTAGCATATCTTCAATCTTTTGAAATTATCTCAAGGAGGCTTCAGCTTCCGATGCCTTAGCCCCAGATCCCGTAGAAAAAATTGTTCGGGACTCTTCGGATACTTGCCTCATAAAATTATTCGTGTCGGAATTTGAGACGATTCCTTTGGCTGCGCAACTTGGAACCTTCCATATCCTTTTTCTTGGTAATGGTCCAAAGTTAGCTCGACAGTTTATAATCTTATGTCCAAATCTCCCACATAAAAAACATTGTATATTGTTTATAGGAGTTTGTGATCGTTCTCTCATCATTGCATATTGAGTAAAATCTTCTTCTTCTCCCATCACCATTGTATTATAATTGTTTGTTGAAGGAAAGGTGTAGGGAGCAGAGTTGTTAATCGCTACTTTTAAAAGTAGCGCGCTACCGCTATAGCTATTTGTCAAAAAAAGTAGCTCTCTATTAACTACTAAAGCTACTTTTTAAACTACTTTTTATAAAAAAAATTTAGAAACAATTTTCTTTTACTTTGCATATAATGCAATTGTACAATAAATAATTTATAAAAATCAACATTTATAAATATTAAAATATAGTTAATTTTGATTATAAAAAAATTTATGTAATAAATTTTAAATATTTATGGTTAATTTGCAGAGTTGTTAAAGTAGCGCGGTAATTAGCGCGCTACCTTTTTTGGTAGCTATAGCTAATAGCGGCTACCTTTTTTGTAAATATTTGATTTTTTAGAGCGCTACTTTTTAAAAAATATAATGAATGTAAGTATAAGCACGAAAATTTAAATATAATACCATAATTAATTATAATTTTAATGATTTATTATTTAATTTTGAAATTGAAATATATTTTCAATTTGTATTATAAACCTAACACCTGTTAATAATTTAAAATGGCATCGCATATGGATATCCAACTCGTTGAAAGTGATGCAGAGTCAGACAATGATGTTAATGAAATAGAAAATACCAGGGAAGAAAATGATATTCATGGCAATACATTCCCATTCCCCAGATTTCAAAAAATTTTCAAAATAAATATTAAAACAAAAACTCCTTTCAAATTTAAATGTTTAAAATGTAAAAAAAATATTTCGTCAAATCAATCAAGTAGCTATAACCTAAAGAAACACCTAAAGGTAAATTATCGTTTTTACATAAAATAATAATATTTATTTTATTAGACTGTTCATGCTAATGGTTTTAAGGAAATTTAACAACGTTTAAATAACTTTGGCACAGGTGAATCTACATCCAAAAAGTCAATTCAGACTAAATAAATTAATACAAATGCCCATATCTCTCATAAATTAGCTGATAAAGTTATTGTGGATTTTATCATTGATACAGTGCAGCCAATGTCCTTGGTTGATAATCCAGCTTTTACTATGATGATTAAAACATTATCACCTGGTACAACTATTTTATATCGGCAATTTGTGAATAAAATAGCTGATAAGTTTAAAGTGATGAAATTAATAGTAGAATTATCAGAGATATCTCATATATGTACCACGGCAGATAGTTGGACACATAACAGAAGGTAAACACTTATTTATAATTATAAATGGATTTGATTAAATATTTTTAGAGCTTATTTGTGAATCACAGGCCATTGGCTAGACCCTAGGACTTTAAAAAGAAGATCTGTAGCATTAGCCCTCAAAAGGATAATAGGATGCCAGACATACGATGTACTTGCAAATAAAATTATTGACGTCCACAAGTCTTTTAGGATTCATAATAAAGTTTGCAAGATGGTGACCGATAATGGGTCCAATTACCTGAAGGCCTTCAGGTTATATTATAAATTTTTAATATTTATTATAAGTTATTATTTGATTAGATTTCTACTATACTTATTTCTTATTAATTAATATCCATCAACTTATATATAGTACAGGGAATTCAATGTATTCATTTGATAAAATATTTTTACTTAGTTACATCATAATTCCTGAGGTTCAAAATTTAGAATAGCTACTAAATGATTTTACCACTCCATTTTTGATAAATATCACTACACATTTCTATTAAAAACTGGATGAATAATCTATTCTATTTAATATGAATATAGAATATTTGGTGAGGATAATGCTGAAGGTGAGATACAGCTTTTATTAAATATTGGTTTCTTTCAAATTTCAGCTGCTAACTCCAAAGTGATAGCTTTCGGCTTGGAAACTTGGTTTAGCCGATTTTTGTGCCGGATAAAAATTGGCTTAACCGGCTAAAAAAATATAGTAAATGACCCAACTATAATACAGGGTTAATGCGCGTTAAAATTTATATTTATCAATACAATCAGAATTTTGTTTGTGTATCAAATTATATTTTTAAATGGGGAAATCAAAATGGCGTATCACTAAGCTGATTTTAAATTTAGCAACGCTTCGAAATGCATTTCAATGAGTGACGAAACGTCAGCTTAAACCGAATGCGGGGTAAAGTAGATTGGGTTGAAGCGAACCCATTTAAAACATATGGTGACTATACGTGTGGAGAGCAGCGGTGGGATGGGAAAAAAGTGTATTCCATCCATTTTTAATGGCGAAGAGAAAGAAAATTCGATTGCCTCGTGTATAGTTATAGGTAATTACTCTATTTCTATTTTACAGTTTTGCCTGATTTTTTAGGTGGTTAAAAAAAAAATAGCGAAATCTTGTTTCTCCAAAATGTATCATTTTAACTTTGCATATTGTTCTTTGAAGAAATAATATAAGTCCACCCTCAATGCTTAACGATTTATTTTTCGATATGGTACCCTGTAGATTAAGTCAAATTCTCCGCTTCGAATACAAAATAAATATCATGATACAAAAATTAATACGTATAACATTAATATTTATTTTAAAATAATAAATAAAAGAATGCCATATTTCTTTTATATTATAATATATTTAAATTTTATATTTTAGTTTATTTACATATTCTTTTTACCCTTATCACGTGGTATTTCGGTTTGACGAGAATTCGCCGAATCCTCGTTCCTGTTTGAATACTCCGAACCTTTTTTTCCGCGATCGTTTCCCTTAGCGTCGACTTCTTTTTCGCAATTATTTTCGTGGTAAATACTATTTTCGCGCATCATTTGTTGATCGCCAATCGCACCATCTTCCGAGTCATTTCCGGCAGAATGCGGGTAGAAGAGACGATTTTGAGAGCACCTAATCAGATATTCCGTGTTTTTTATTTTAAACTTGAAAGATAACCGGGCTGGTTCATTATTCCTTCCTTCTTTATCCTTTCCTCTCCCCCCTCCCCTCTTTTCACTCATTCCTTCCTAATGGATTATAAAAAAAAATAAACTTCAAATGAGAGAAGATACGCAAAACCGACCTGGAAAAAAGCCCGGACCGGTAAAAAATTTTAGCGGATTTTTTTTTAAATAATAAAAAAAAAATTTATTTAGATCAAATCGAATCCCGTTAAGGCCTAATAATTTTTTATAAAAAACTCCAAGTTTTTAATAGCGATCTAAGGAAAAATATTTCTGGCCTATTTATTTGGGGCAGGATTTGCAAAGCCCTTATTTTCTAAGAAAAATAAACATTCCTCCACACACCCCCTTCCTCCCCCCGTTATAACGATATTTATTAAAAATTTTAAAAAATATATATTTCAATGTGTTATTTATTTATTTTTTTCCAACTTTAAAATCATTTTTCGAGCGCGGTTTTTTTTTTTTTAAATTTAAAAATTTCCATTTTACCGGAAATGGATTCAATCATGGTTTGGAATACCTGCCCTATGAATTTCGGAAAATTTTGCCATAAACTTCCGAAACTTAATAAAAAAAATAAAAAAATTATATTAGTATAAATTATAACCTGAAATCAAAGGTTAACGGCGAAACTATCTACAATTCGTAAAGATAGGTATTCTAAACTGGGATAAATTTTCGATAAAATCCTATTTTTGAATTTGAAAAAAAAAAAAATGGCGCTCAAAAAAAATGATTTAAAGTTGAAAAAAAATAAACACATTTAACGCAATGACATATAATAATACCTAGACTGACGATTCATTCATTAAAAGTGTACATCAATACAAATCAGCTAGAGACGCCATCTTGGTTACTGTAATAAATATTAAAATTTTAAAACGAGAGCCTAATTTTATATTATATCTGATGCAAACTTTATTAAAGAATTGCCTGATCATCGAGATAATAAGAAAGTAAGTTATCAATTTAATATTAGTTTTTAACATGAAAATAATTATTATAAAGGTTACCAAAATGGCGGGTCCAGCTGATTTGCTTTTAACGACGCTTAAAAATGCATTTTAATGAATGAATCGTCAGTCTAGGTATTATTATATGTCATTGATTTAACGCTAACATATACAAAACTATACGCGTAAAAATTCATGCAAATAAAATTTATTATTTAATTTGTTTTGAAGTTTGTTTTTTTTATGACTAATAGATAATTTGTATTCCAAAGACCTCAAAAACCCCCGCCCCCCCCCCATTTTGTAAAATTATTTTTTATTTTTTAAATGGCCAAAAAAAATTATATCATCGTTTGATGACTGGCACCTGGGGCTCATCGGTTCAAATATATGGAACGATATGGAGTAGTGACAAGTGTCTAATCCGTACTTAAATTCTAGGCATACCTGTTTTTTGTTAAAAAAATCTAAAGCCAAAACTTCCAGGCATGATCTTATGGTTAAGAGTAAAATAAAATTCGATCGCTCTTTAGTCACATGATCTTACCCATTAAATAGCTACATTGACTGTGTCCATACCCATTTTATAAAAATTCGAAAAGTTTAAAAAGTTTCGCAAATCTTAATTATTATGGAAAAATTTTTTTGAAATTTACAAAATTTTCTTAGAATTATGTTTCGTTTTGGACATGATTTCATTTTTTTATATTTAAAATAGCTTATTTATTTATTTATTTATTTTTATTTAAAGTTTAGAAAATTTGTGAATTTAAATCTTTTGATATTTTGGACACAGCCTAATAAATATATATATATATTAAATGTAAGGGCCGTTAAAAAAAAATGCGAAACGCGAGAAGGTCGTAATTGGAATAATTTATGGCGGCTCCGCACTCGACGTCGAAGGCGAAAACGGAGAGATCGAAGTGAGCATTGAACATGGCTTCATTGCATTTCGAATCTGATTTATAATAAAAAAAAAAATAGAATTTTCGCAGTGAGGTTTAATAAGGGTGTTAGGAAGACCGGGGCATAAGGGCGAATAGGTAATGGTCATGATCAGAAACCCGGAGTGAACCGTAACGAACAGTTACACCATTATAAACCGTTATAAATGTCAGAACTTTTTGAAGGAGTAAAAAGAATTTCTATAAAAAAAGGTCAAACCGGTTTAAACCGGTTTAGTTTTATATTTTAGGAATCAAAAAATTTGAATGTCCTGAATTATATAAACTTGCTCTTATAGTAGGGGAGACCGGGGTACATTGAGTACAGGGGAACGTTAGGACATTCTAATTATAATTTGAGCTATTATTTTATAAGACTGGAAATTTGAGCCTAACATAGATAATTTTGTCATACATGATTGGCTAAAAAAGATTTGAAAAATATTTAGTATTTTAATTTTTACAGAAGAAAATGTGTTTCGGCATACCAAAAGTAATAAAAAAATTTTGCAAACTTTATCGTTTATATTTATAAATAATGCTTCAAAAATCATAATAAATAGATTTTAGGAAAGCCTAAACCCTATTTTCCAATCTGGCAAACTTTCAGAATCATTAAACATGAATTAATATGATTTTGGATGATATTTATAAAGTTAGTGGGCTCGGTCATAGTTGGTCATAGTATAGTTGGGACACGCCATTTTAGCTCATTTTATACAATTTTATTATTTTATTATTAATTTAGTATTGTGAATAATGAATAATTAAATACTTATCTTTTGCTATGTTTATGATTAAAAAAAAAAAATTTTTTACATTTTTTTCTTTACAATTTTTTTTTCCCCAAAATAAATTTCCTAAATTTTGCTAAAATTTTTTTTATATAGTTATTGATTATGAATTACAATATTATCAATAAAATCATATGTGTCATAGTCTCTAGTCTTACTGGATTACTGATTTTAAATTTTTAAATTTATTTAGACCTCTATTTCACGAGTGTCCCAACTATCACATATGTGTGTCCCAACGTACACAGAGTCTGTCATAGTTGGGACAAAAAATTTTTTTTTTAAAATTCAATTATCTAAAAAAATATAATCTTCATAAAATATATATTAATTATTTCAAATAGCCTATACTTCTGGGATTCAGAAGATGTTTTAATTATTCAGATTAGTCTATTAATATTAAAATTATTAAGGTTTGAACGAAAAGTGTCCCAACCATCCCCGGTCTCCCCTACTGATGGTTCCCGCAACACAAGTTTTTGTAGAAAGGGCCTTTTCGGGGCTAAAATTTGTGTTATCGTAACAACAAACAAATATGAATTCATTTGAATGAGAAAATATATTACTTATAATATATTTAAAAATGAGTTATTATGAATTTTTATGTATTTTTTTATATATATAATTCATAGATGCTTATAATAAAAATAAATTAGACGATGGTGCTGCTTTAATATAAAAAAATTTCTAACCGTAATGAACCATTATGAACCTTTATAATTAGCTGAACCGAACCGAACCTTCGTAAAAAAAATTTTAAGAACCGTAACCAAACTGAACCGTTATAATTAACGGTTCGGGTCCCTGGTCATGATTGAGTAGCGCAATTTCACTCTTCTTCTTTTTTATATATAAATAGATTTTAATTTTTCGAATTAAAAATATATTACGCATTAGATATTTAGTAAATATATATTTATTTTTTTAAAAAAAGGGATTAAAATATATGGCCAATAAAAAAATGACGGATAATATAAGGCTACATGGCAAATTTCTAAGCCAATGTTCTGGCGAAAATGTATAAGGAATTCGTAAATATTTTTGCAGGTGTTTTGTATTTGACAAATATAGAGTTCAATAATGAATAATAAAATAAAAAACACTAAATTGAATATTAATTCTCAATTAATTAAGTCTCTTTTTAAAAAAATATCTTTAAATTTTTACGAGCTTTTTCATAGTTAGATGTTAAGATTTTGGTGGTATCCATAAGTTAGACTTCTAAGGAATAAGCCAATCATTTAAACGGAAATGACGTTTATCTCTAAAATTTTATATGGTTTTTCATGGGGCTCCAGAAGCTCGAGGTCTAAAGTAACGGACCTTAGCCCATTATCTGTTTAGGCTGAAGGAAGTGGTATCTGACTCTGATAATAATCAACTTATCCTAAATTGGAAAACCAGATAAACCCATTGCATATATTATAAAAGCTAAATTGGTCCGGGTTAATCAGAGCCTCGATTTTTTAAATCGCGAACGGCGAAATGAGAATTGGAGAACTACCTACGCCCCGAGAAGCTTAAAAAAAAGGCAAAACTTTATTTACCGTATTCTTCGTCTTCGTCGTCAGATTGGCCCATTTTTTCTGACCCATCGCTATTCTGATTGGCCGGAATCTCGGGTGCGGGTGAAACCTGGAGGGGATACGGTGGATGGGAATTTTCGGAATTTTGGTGATAATTCGAAGGAACCAAGAATGTTTCGTCTATCTTAACAGCTCTGTTGCAACCCGCCCTGGGACACCATTTAATAAAAGGGTTGCTTTCCACGAACGCCTAGTATAAAAAATCAGTTTATTATTTTTTTTCTAATTCTTTTCTTTAAATATTTTTTTTTCTTTTCTAATTCTTACCCTTTTCTCTTTTTTTATTTATTTATTTATTCCATTCCATTCCATTTCCTTTATATATATATATGCATAAAACCTGTATATCGTATTGCAAATATTTTTTAGCCATATCCCTTGAAACGACTCGCTCTATAAAATCCACGGGAACTAAATGATTGCAATCGTAGGAAGGGCAAACTATAAGTTGAACGTTCCCTTCTTGAATTTTGAGCGTCAGGTATCTGTGCTCGTGATATTAAGTTTAAAATATTTTATTATCAAAAAAAATCTTATAAATCAAAGCTTTATAAGTTTGAAAAAAATTAACACCTCCCCCCCCCCTCCCCAACTCTAATAGAGAATTTTTTAAAGATAATTTGAACTTATTGGTGTGATTTTAGCGAAAATAATAGACGATTTATAAATAATATGTTAAACGAAGGTTAATTGGAAACTGAAAAGAGTTGACGGTCGACATCTTTAATTTTTTTTTAGGTCGACTTTGTAGAGTGATAGAGGATTTGTGCGAAAAACAAAAAGATTTAAAAAATCAGCGCGGTGAAAAAATGGGGGATTTATTGGCGGAATTCTATTGGTTAAACTTACGAGACTAGATTTTTAAGAGCCAATATACACCTTTTTAGCAGGGACCTGGAAACGAAACTTTATGTAAAACGGTATATTCCGGAAGCTTTGGAGAGCGTTCCTAAAAAAATCTATTAAAATTATAATACGGAAATGGATGATTGCTTCATCTCACTTATTACGCTTAGTCTTCTCGTATTTAAAAATTTATATTGATTGATTAAGTCGATTATGGTATATATCTTCTTCTTCTTCTTCTTCTTCTCCTTCTCCGTTTAATGGAGATTTCCAGGTTCACCCAGGTTGGCCAGTTTTCCTTCTGATTCAATCATTGGGCAACTTTGTAGCAAGTTTTTTTACAATCGGATGCCTTCCTGATATCAAACCCCTTTAGGTGGCTTTTACACCCCGTCGTGGAAACGGTGATGCTATTTTAGGCACAGCCCACAGGGAACCTTTTAGACCCCCATTAGCAGCCAAAAGACGTTGTCACTCCCCCACCCCGATGAGGCTGAAGGTAGTATTTGGGGAGGATTATGGGATATATAATTATATTAATATTAATAATCAGAGTTGTTAAAGGATCTAGATACAAGTATCTAGATATAAAAATGTGGTATCTGTATCTAGATAGATTTTTTATTAAATAATCTGTATCTAGATATTATTTTAGATGTTGTATCTGTATCTTGATCCATTTAAAAAATATCTTTTAACAACTCTGTTAATAATTGTTAAATTAAGAGAAAAAAAAATATATATTGTTTTTTTCTATAATATTAATTAATAATTATTAATAATCATCAGAGTTGTTAAAGAATCTGGATACAAAAACGTGGTATCTGTATAAACTTTTATTAAAAAAGTATTTGTATTTAGTTACTCATTTTAAGATAAATACTTTTAACATATATATATATATATATATATATATTAAACTGAAAAACAATATTTTATCTTAGACCATAATTCTTTAATTAAAATTCGAATTATTTTAATTTAATTAAAATCGCGATTTTTAAATTTAAAAAAAAATAGGATTTATTTTGATTTTTTTTTAAAAAGAAATAGGATTTATTTTGATTTTTTTAAAACAAAAAAAAATCACGATTTTAGTTAACCTTATCTGAAGATCAGTATTTGTTAGAAAAAGAAAGCGAAATGTAAATTAACTCTTTTCTTCTGCACGTGACCGTAGGATTATTAGCCATTACCAAAAAATGAATAAATGCATATTATAGAAGAAGAAAAAAAGACACTTATTTTTCTTTTACAATTTGGAAGATACACTAAATATCGTTTCAAATCTCGGAATGTATCGACTATCGAAGAGTATCGTTTCAAATTTATAAGAGAATTATACACTGAATTTTTTTTTTTTTTAAAGTGGGATATTTTGCTAGGTAAAATGCTTATTTATAATAAATAACAACCTTTTTTTAAAAAAAAAAAAAATTATACTAAAACCTTTCCCAGCAATCACGGCAAAAGGGATGATCGCATTCCATCTTCGGCTTCTTCAGGGGGGTTCTGTGCTTGGAGACCGGGGATATAAGTTCGTCGCATATACCACACACCTGAATAAAAATACTATTTGTAGGATTTTTTTAAAAAGAAAACTTCCTTCGATCTGGCTCTCGCCGAACTATCACGGATCTACCCTTTCTACTCCTATGGGAGATTCGGGTAAAGAAAAAAAATGAGGACTATATTATAATTTTTTTTTGTTTAAAAGGAATGTGTTTTACCTAATGTCAATCATTTTTTTTTAAAATCCCTTTAGGATCTGCATAATAATTAGTCTTATTTATTATTTCGATAATTTTTTAAAGGAAAACTCGTTAGATATTTCAATTATAAAACCCGGAAGTTAACATTTTAAGGAATTTTTATATTTATCGTGATATAGTTGCTTCTACAATTATTATCTATCTTAGGTTAGCCGTTATCTGAATTTAATGGGGGTGGGAAGAAGGGGGGGGGGGGGGTTACCAATCCTTCCTTAACCTTCTTACTTTACTATATTAAAACGTTTCGTAAATATTAAATTCTGGTAAGAAATATAATTATAAATAAATTACGAATTGGTAAATATTTACTTAGAAAATAGAAAGTTTTGGTTAGAGGGATTATAAAGCGTTTGCTCTTTATAAAAAGATGTTCATATAAAGGTGCATGGGAACCGAGCCGGATTTTCACCACCTGCCACCCCCCCCTTCTCCTACCCACTCTCTGTATAGATAATCAGTAAATAAAACATATGTATACGTTTTAGACAGATTATACAAATATAATTTTGTGTAAGTATCTATTGATTAAGAGAGTTTAGAAAACTGTTTTAAAAAGATATATTTCATCATCATGCATGAACTTACCCTAGCTGTAGCGTTGATCGAAAATTCTTGATTGGCGTTGCCGCGCTTACTTTTGGAATCGGCGTTCAAGAGGTCGGTACGACTTGTTTCGGTGATGGGCGAGGTAGAAGGCGGGGACTGAACACCACAGAGGCGACAACATGTCGGAGGGTCCGCTATCCAGGAGTCGAGCAACCTTAATTTAGACCATTCTTCGAAAAAAAATATAAATTCATTAATTTAGAAAGTAATTTTCAAAGGGACCAGTTACTTTCGAAAATAAAATTGTAACTGGATGTTAGTTATAGTAAACTTTTTAATCTGTAACTTGTAATAATAACTAGATACTTTTTAAAAGTAACTTTTAACGACACTATATCCTTCCTTCTATTTATTATATACCGAAATATCTTAATAGGCCCTCGGCCGTGAATAGCGGAACGTTCAGCATATCCGAGGTCTCCACTATGAGTTGATCTTTAAGTTCTTGCAATTCCGTTCTACTTAAACAGGTATAAGGTTCGGATAGATCCAGCTCGGCTAATTCCCTTTCTACGCAACCTTCAGTTTCTTCCTATTTTTTTTAAACGGGGATTTCAAAAAAAAACACAAGTAATAATATTATTTTTTAAAAGGAAGGAAGGAAGGAAGGAAGGAAGGAAGGAAGGAAGGAAGGAAGGAAGGAAGGAAGGAAGGAAGGAAGGAAGGAAGGAAGGAAGGAAGGAAGGAAGGAAGGAAGGAAGGAAGGAAGGAAGGAAGGAAGGAAGGAAGGAAGGAAGGAAGGAAGGAAGGAAGGAAGGAAGGAAGGAAGGAAGGAAGGAAGGAAGGAAGGAAGGAAGGAAGGAAGGAAGGAAGGAAGGAAGGAAGGAAGGAAGGAAGGAAGGAAGGAAGGAAGGAAGGAAGGAAGGAAGGAAGGAAGGAAGGAAGGAAGGAAGGAAGGAAGGAAGGAAGGAAGGAAGGAAGGAAGGAAGGAAGGAAAGGAAGGAAGGAAGGAAGGAAGGAAGGAAGGAAGGAAGGAAGGAAGGAATGAAGGAAGGAAGGAAGGAAGGAAGGAAGAAAGTATGGTAAATTTTAAAAATGAGATTGTTAATTTAAATTTACTGCGGACAAATAAACTATGCGAAATTCGATGTAATTTGTCAGTCTTTTGTTTTTTCCACTCATCGCCGAGAGCTCCAATGCAGTGGCCATTTTGGGAGTTTGGATGGATTTCGAAGATTTAGAAATTTTGGGGATTTTTATGGCGTTGGGTACTTTTAATGAGAGCTGTCGCAATCCACCATTTTCTAACTGTAAATCGAATTATATTATTGGTCATGACTTGAATGGTTATATTTTAGAATCAAAATAGATGAAGCAGAACAGAAGTATATAACTTTATTTCCTTTTATTCATTTTATTCATTTAATTATTCATTCATTTATTTTCATTCTTTCCTAGAGTTATAATATACCAAGTAATGAGCTAAAGGTAGGTTTCCTGCGTAGCAAGCGTAATGCAGCGGGGCCCATCCATTAACGCCATCTATTACTTCAACCGAGGTGGCGTCTTCCCATTGGTCGAAATGAGAATAATTGTTAGCTAAATCTGGTAAAATATTTTGGAACGTTAATAAAAAAGATCAAACCGGCCCAACAAAATATTTCGGGTTCAGTCGGGCCTTTTGAAAAATTCGGGCCGTCCGCACCGGGTTTAAAAAATTAGGCCCGATGCCAATCACTTATTGGCATCTATTCTGGGTTTTTTTTTAAAAAAAAGAAGGCTTAAATGAGTAACGATTAATCCGCCATTTTTTTACTGCTTTCTAATTGTTTTTAATTTTTATCTTATGTCTGAATAAAGTGATTGTTAAAAAATGTTGTCATATTTTAGAAATAAGTGTATAGTAATGACATAATGATATTGAAAGCGTCGTTGAATGCAAATCAGCTGGACCCGCTATTTTGGTAACCCAATATAGTAATTATTCTCATGTTAAAAACTACTATTCAATTGATAACTTCCTTCTTATTTCGATGATCAGGAAATTCTTTAATAAAGTTCGAGTCAGACATAGGGATAAATTGGCTTCTCGTTTAAAATTTTTAATAATGATATGGTGAACCAAAATGGCGTCCCCAGCTGTTTTCATTGATGTACACTTTTAATGAATGCATCGTCAGTCTAGGTCTTATTATATATGATTGGTGTATAGTCATATAATATTTTTCTAATATAAAGTTAATCGCTTTTCTCCAACATTTAAAGGTGTCCTCATTAATGAGTAAACGCGTCATGTACAAGGGGTGCGTTATTTGACGCAGCGTTATTACAAATAAGTATAAATTTATAAATATGAAGCATTATGATGATAACGGCTATGATAACATTTTAAACATATGTTGCAATGCGTTGGTAAAAAAAAAAATATGCAATACGATTGTAAAAAAATATAAGCGAATTTTAAAAAAAATATTATAAACTAATCATCTCCATTTTAGCTTTATCTTAAATCAGTTTTTTAAAACTAAATCCGCTGTGGTAACGCCGCGTCAAATAACGCAGCGCTTGAAGATAGCTCCTTTACAATAAATGTAGGGTATACCCAATGACATATAATAAGACCTAGACTGACGATGCATTCGTTAAAAGTGTACATCAATGAAATCAGATGGGGACGCCATTTTGATTACCCATATCACTATTAAAAATTCGAGAGGCTAATCTATTCCCATGTCCGATGCAAACTTTATTAAAGACTTGCCTGATCATCGAAATAATAAAGTAGCAAGTTATCAATTTTGGCGGGTCCAGCTGATTTGCATTCAATAACGCTTAATGCATTATTGTGAATGCATCATCAGTCTAGGTATTATAATATATGTCATTGGGTATATCATAAACTGGTGATAATGATAATCGTCGTACAGCAAGAGTAGACTCACTACCTATTCTATTTGATTAACTTTTAATACATAGAAATCAAAACCACCATTTTTTTTAAATAACCCATCTGGGCTTAGTTGCCTTGATGTCGGGCTAGTAAATCCAAGCCTGGGTCAGCGGAAAAGAAGGTTAGTTATATTTATTTTATAGTTTAAATTTCTGCTCATTAAGGGTTGTCAAAAAAATTTGGATATTTTTTTTTCCAGCTTTTGCATATTAAAATTGTCCTAATGGATATGTAACAGACTTTTTATTGGGATGTTTAGAGGAAACTAAATAGCCTGCTAAGCATCTGTTTACGTCTAACTATAATCCGAGCGCTGTGACGCCAGCGGAGAATATAAAAAATATAGCACGGTTAGAGGTTAGAATCTTTGATTATTTATCGTCATTTTAGAAAGTAGTTATTAAAAGCGATTCATTGTCATTAATCAATTCCTTTTGTAGGTTTAGGGAGAATATATTTCATCTTAATGTCTATCTATACATCTTTCCATAATATTATAAAACCTAATTCTTTTAATAATCAGCATCGAAACGTGAATATAAAAATAAAATACATATAATACTTTCCGTATCTTTCCTATTGGAAATCCTCTTCCTTTTAAGCTCTCTGCTATAATCCATAATGGCTTTCAAGCACTCGATCCTGCGTTCGGTGTCCAGATTAACTATATCTATAGAATCGGATTCGTCGGGCATTTCGTTCGATTCGCAACTCCAATCCGATTGGTCGAATGAATCTTCGCAAGTCACGCGACGACATGGAAGGGCGTTTCGGCATAAAGTGTGCAGGGCCGATTGGCCCTCGGCATTTTTGGTCGTTATATCGCACCTCGTATCAGCCAGGAATAGTCTATATATAATTTCGTAAATGTGATATTGAGAAAGGCCATTATCTCAGACATTGTTAATAATTATTTTATTGTTCCATCTCCACTTTATACCATTCATTAATATGGAAGGGAAAACGAATTTCATTGTATGATTTAACTATTTTAAAAAAAAAATTACAAATAATGTTTAATATTTATTTAGCAAAATTCGTTTTTTATAAATATAAAATAAATATTTAAAGAAATATTTTAAAAATTAAATTTTGAGGAATGTTTTCGGGATTTGAAATCCAAAAAGAGATAAGGAAAATCTTCTGTAAATAAAAATTTTCAAATCCCTAAGGAAAACATAATTTCGTACGTAAAATGAAGTTAATAATTTAAACAGACGATATTATAAAGTTTAAAAAATAATAAAGGTTGGATGGATGAATGGAAATTTGGTAACTTAATTTATCCATAATAGATAAACCTGTGCATCAATTGATACAGAAAAAAAAAATCTTAATTCCTATTGGATGCCATCTTTAAAAAAAAAAGACGGAAATAAGGTAATCTATAATAATAACGAATCTAAAATAAACTTACGCTTCTGGCAACCAGATTTGTAAATCTAAATATCTCCATATTGAAAAATTATTTCAAGCGACATAATATATACACATTTTAAAAAAAATTCGGCTGATCACCATCTTCCTCATTGTAAAATTTAGGAGTACACATTTTTTTTCCTTAATAGATACGCCGGTGTTTTACATTCAGCTCAAAGGAAAATTGGGATCGGTGGATTATAATAAAGTGAATGAAGTAAATTCTCGAGTTAAACATTATGGCAATCGGGTGTGGCCGCCGAGAAAGTATCAAGGAAATAGATGGCCCATGAATTCTTCACAGATGTCCATGAAAAGGAGTGATTTCGATCTTACAGGTGTAGGTCATACTAGTTATTCAATATTCGATTCTTTATTATAATAATAGAATATGGGACCTAATAAAATATAGAACCGTTCATAATATTGATGATACCTTTTTCGAATTGAGGGGGAATTTTATGTTCAAGTGAGATCAGCTCCCAAGATGTGAAGAAAACACTTATGTTGTGGATCGATTCAACATGTGATAGCTCAGTGTACATTATACGTAGAGGGTGATCCCAGCCCATCGAAATATCTATTATTTGGTGGGACAACGCCAAAATCGTTTGAAGGATGATACCGCTATTACCAATATTTTCTCCCTGGATAGACATAAGGTTTTTTGGCCGCCTAACCATAAACGATTCCCAATGAGCGAGATGAATCACGTGGATGTGATAGACCTTGCTATCACCAGGGCTGGGTGCTAGTCATTTTTGGAGGATTCGATGCCTGGGAGACAGCAATTGATTCTGAACGAAATCAGCTGACAAGTTTTTTTTTATGGTATACATACATATTTACACCAAATAATTTTTCAGTAATTAAAAATTAATAGTTTTTATTTTTTAAATTTTTTTAAACAAATCAAGTATTAACTTTGTATGTTATATTTTTTTCTTTATTAGGAAAATTTTTATTTATTAAAAGGAGCGGTTTCAATTTTTAAAAATATTAAATACAAATAAGGATATATTAAAAATTAACTAAAAAAAAATCCTAGAGAAGAGTGAATGCTTAAAAAATCGAACAGGCTTCGAGAGAAATCTTGCTGCTGACGAAGGTAAAATCCTTCATTGGGATCCCCAGTGATCTGTCTCATTTTTCCCCCTATGGTTTTATTGAAATTGAGTGTATCACTTCCGAATGTATACCTAAGATATTTGATAACAATTGGTATGAACACTGTGTTGGTGAGGCCGATATATTTGTTTAAAGGACTTCTGCCTTTTCGGTGGCAGAAAATGAGAGGTTGGCTGCTGCGAAATCGACACAATTATAGTCTAAGGTCAGCGGGAGATCGTTGGTCCAGGGAATTATGGATATACCATAGGGGCTTATGGCGTTTTCATTTGAAAGGCCCACTTGTTCAAGGGTGGATGGGATTAACTTTTTTTGTGGGGAGCTAAAAGAATGTTGTCGATGGATTTATGGCGGGGTTGTAGTCCACCAAAAAACTTGCAGTTCAAGTAATGGTAGGCTTTGGATTCAATGAGCTGGCCACCATAATTTTATCTCATAAATAAATATTTATTATTCGTGGGTACATTCTCGTGGCCTATAAAGGGTGGGCGCGTGTCAAATTTGTATATTTATTGAAGGTTGTCTATCAAGTTTAATGTCGCAACGTGATTGGTTAAAAATTAATTTAAAAAATTTATAATTATTTTGTTAAGAAATATTATTTGTATTCGTTAATTAAATTTGATCATAAACAAAAAAAAAATAACTAAATTATTAAATGATTTTTAATCGTTTTTTTTTGTTTTATAAAATATTTGAAATAAAAGCAATATTTTTGTTTCAATTGAAATTTTAAAATAGTTAGCACAAATAATTAAGATTGATAGAATACCGGTAAAATTAGATTTTTGAATTTTTTAAAAAAAAACGTGTTTAAAATATAATTTAGGGTTGAAAAAAATAACACAATGCCGAAAAAAAAAATACGTTGTCGTTAACACATATATATATGTCGTATTGGGATTCGGAATCTCTTGATTTTAAATCCTTTACCGAGAGAGCGATTTAGAAAAATTTAAAGTTCGATTTAACCGAAAATGTATTGTAGCATAGCATGGGTAGAGTTCCCAAACTGTTAAATTTCAAACAATTTTGGCCATGAACTTTAGAAACTATTTCCAATTTATATTAATTTTTATGTGGATTTTTCATATAAATTAAAAAAAAATACTTAAATGTCTATCGCTGAAATTGGTTGAAATTTATAAGGTAAATACTCTACACATGCTGGAATACAATTCCTGTAAAATCAGATGTTTAAAATCCAAAAATCGCCATTAGTAAATGATTTAAAATTGAAAGATTCCGAATCCCCATACGACATATATATTTAATTTACTACATTCATTAAAATATATTTATTTTTTTTTTAAAAAATTAATTATTTTTATATCGAATCTTATTTGAAAAATGTTATAATTCATGCGAAATCAAATAAAAAATAAAATAAAATTTCATAAATAATATGAAATATTTAACGTTAAAATTGTCATAAAAATAGAGGTCCTATTAAAATAAAGGTTGCTAAGAAACATAAAATCTCGCCGCCTCCTCGAAGCTCAGTTGATCCATTAGATCCGCGTCACGTGAGCTGATTTTGCTGCAAAAAAATGGTTTTTTCCATTATAAGTCAATATTTTTAAATTACTCAGGTAATGCTATGGTTAATTATTATTTATAAATAGATTTTTCTTTAAATAAAATATATATAATTATTTTAATTCATATATGTATATAACCTTGAAATCGTCTTTTCCATACAAGTATTTTAGGCAACAGCCTTCCCTCCCCTCTGCTCGGAAGTTAATTTAATCTTTTTCACAAACCTAACATTTAATAACAAAAAGTGGTTTTTTTTTAAATTTAAAATTTTAAAAATTGAAAATAATTATTACATTATCCTTTATTTATTTTATTTGAACATTTTATTTTTATAATTATATTTTTTTTTATATAATTGTCAGTTAATAAGCCAAAGCAATGTATTAAATAGATAATATTTACAAAAAAAATATATAATAATTTTCGCAAATTTATTGATTTTTTTTTTGTTATCTTTGCGTTCGTTATTCAGTGTTTCATACCATTTCTATTTTTTTTGCAGATGAAGATGATATTATTATTATTATATTCGATGTGTTTTCTTTAAACTTTCATAATCTTATAATCTTGTATCTGTCTATTTCAATTTCTCAACCATGTTTCGAATTAAGATTATATTCTGGTATTCGGCAGGGGTCTTAGCCGATACTAAAACGGTATCTGGTCGATACCACGGATATCAAATAGTTTCATCAAGTTTCACTCATTCATTTATAATTTTTTTTTTTAAATGGTTAAAAATTTGTAACCTCGATTTTCATTTAAAAAAATGAGAATGGTAAAAAATAAATATAAATGCGACATAATATTCCCGTTTCTAGTTAAAAAGACATGTCGTAAATGACCCCAGACCCTCTTAAACGGGAGAATAGGCGGGAGAGCAGCCTTGGACCGCCAAAAGGCTTATTTTTAGGAGCCGGCATATTTTTGTTTCAAAAAAAGGTGTAAATATTATATCAATTATTAATTAATTTAGTCGTTTATTGCAAATTATACATTTCATGAATATTATATTACCTAATTCATATTCTAAGCTGCTTGTACACGAATCTAATTTTAAAAAATGAAAACCACAGTTCGTTATTTTACATTTTTTTAAGGGCTAGATATATTGGAATTTTTGTGCCTCAGGCTGCTAAAACTTCTTGAGCATGGCTCAGATAACTCCGTTATGATTTTTTTTTAAACTAATCTATATTGCCATCAGTTTAAATGTTTAAATTTATCATATTTAAGAACCTAATTCAATGGACGACAGTCTCCCCACCCCTTCTTCCCTTTTGTCAAATAATATTTTATCTATTAATTAACCGAAATTTTAATTATAGAATGAACAAATATTACATAAATTAGCAGCAATTATAAAATCAATTTACATTCATTTTATAGGCGATTAGTGTAATATTAATTATAGAAACCTGCATGAACATCAATATCATGCATAAAATGTAAGCCCAGCTTATGAAAATGTCAATGTTATTGAATATCACAATTATAGAGAATATATATTTTTAAAAAAAGTATGGAAAATCAGATTTGTATTAATGAGAATAAAATAGATTAAAATTATTAGATTATTGAAGTTATCTCTGAATATAGATTAGAAAATATAATTAAATAATATTTTGCAGAGTGGTTAAAGTAGCGCGCTACTTAGCGCGCTATCTTTTTTGGTAGCTATAGCTAATAGCCGCTACTTTTTTTAAATTATTTAATTTTTTAGCGCGCTACTTTTTTTAAAGCGCTACTTCGCTACTTTTAAAAAATATAATGAATGTAAGTATAAACATGAAAATTTAAATATAATATCATAATTAATTATAATTTTTATAATTTATTATTTAATTTTGAAATTTAAATATATTTTCAATTTTTAATTTATATTTTCAATCTGTGTTAATAATCTAAAATGGCATCGTCCATGGATATCCAAATCCTTGAAAGTGATTCAGATATGGAAGATTTAATGGAAGAAAATGTACTTAATAGCTCTAATAACGTTTTTCCATTCCCTAAATTTGAAAAATTTTTTAAAATAAATATTAAAACAAAATCTGGATTCAAATTCATGTGCTTAAAATGTAAAAAAAATATATCATCAAATCAATCAAGTAGCTATAACCTGAAGAAACACCTAAAGGTAAATTGTTATTTTTACATTATAATATTATTTATTATATTAGACTGTTCACGCCAATTGCTATAAGGAAATAGAGAAACATATAAAAAATTTTGGTATAGGAGAATCTTCATTCAAAAAGACAAATACTATCCAAACCAAATTAACTGATAATAAACATGCCAATATTTCACAAAAATTGGCTGATAAAGTTATTGTTGATTTTATTATTGACACAGTTCAGCCAGTGTTTTTGGTTAATAATCCATCATTTACTCTGATGATTAAAACTTTATCCCCTGGCACAACAGTTTTATGTCGCCAGACACTTATGAATAAAATAGCCGACAACTTCAAAGTGATGAAAGATGCTCTAATAGTAGAGTTATCAGATATATCTTATGTATGTACCACGGCAGTTAGTTGGACACATAACAGAAGGTAAAAACTTATTTATATTTATAAATTGATCTGATTAAATATTTTTAGAGCTTATTTGGGAATCACAGGCCATTGGTTAGACCCTAGGACCTTAAAAAGAATATCTACTCCAACAAACATAGATTGCCGAGTATCTACCACGAAGACATCCTCAAATAATTTTTTTGAAATTAAAGATGATTTAATAGAAAATCCAATTGATCTTTTTTTTCAATCAAAAAATATTGAAATGAATATTTTTGATAATTTTTCATATATTAAAAATTTATATATAAAATTTAATACCCCCTTGCCCTCAAGTGCTAGTGTTGAGAGATTATTTAGTAAAGCAAAGCTTATACTTTCTGATCGTCGCTCTAGACTTGGGGATGATAATATTGAAATGATATTATTATTAAAATGCAACAAATTAAAATAAATAATAATTTATATTGCTTATTTTTTTATAATCTAAACTAACTATATTTTTATATTTATAAATGTTGATTTTTATAAATTATTTATTATACATTTACATTATAAGCAAAAAAAAATAAAAAAAATTTATTTCATTTGTTTCTAAATTTTTTTTTATAAAAAGTAGCTAATAGAGCGCTACTTTTTTTGACAAATAGCGAAAGCGAGTAGCGCGCTACTTTTTTTGACAAATAGCTATTACAGTAGCGCGCTACTTTTAAAAATAGCGTTTAACAACTCTGATATTTTGAAGTTGGAGATTTTTTTCAATATATGCTTTTATAAAATATTTAGCAGATATCACATGCCAGGCTAAAATCCAAAAAGAATTGCAAGTGATCATTAAAGCAGGTTTAGACTAAAAAAAGCATTTTGCAGGTGTCTATAATCTAATACAATGAGAATCTATACTCTAAAATTGATATTACTACCAAGGGCCCTCCATATATTTGTCCAAGTAGAGGGAGCATATATTTATTGTTTTTTTATATAAGGGTATCGAAGTCTATGTTTATTACTGGAAAACATTTAGTAGTGTATCTTTTTTTTGACATGGATCAAACCCAAATGTTTGCTTTTTATAAAATTAGTTATTCGATATTGTTTTTTATTTAAATATTATTTTAATATATTTTTTTATGTTTCTAATAATAATTTAAATCAAATTAACTGTATGAAGTTCAAACAAAATAACTCAAAAGATTAATCAAACTCATTAAAATAGCCAATAAATATTTGCATTTTGTTACACAAATGTGCATATACCTATTTGACCATGAAGTATGGCCAACTAAGATTGCAGAGATAATCCTGTGAAGAATTTTTGACCTGGCCCTGAAAATTATACAAGTTCTCTATCCTAAATTATTTTTGCCCATCATTGTCAGCAGGTTGGGCACTTGGGTAAGGCTAAGTCAACCTCCATCTATAAATTCAATTGGAATTAATATTTTATATACAAGGAATCTAAATTTTCCCCATCCTTTTACCAATATTTCTCTTTTTAGTATATTTTAATGGTAAACTTATAAAAAGAAGTTGTTAAAATCTTTATGCAGATTGTAGAAAATAGCTCGTTATCATATAAGATTGTAAATATTTTGCATAAAAATACTTCTTTTTTTAATTTGGATACTTAAACTGGACATAAATAAAGAGGGTGAGTACACCAATCCCTGCACTACCCCCTTTCATAATAATTTATCATTTTATAATAAATATCTTGATGAAAAATTATCTTGTAGATCCACAATAAACATAACTCAGTGTATAAAATGTTTTATTAATTCTTAATATAACAAAAGTGAAAGGTCTTTTATATCATAGTTTTATTGTACTTGACAAAATAAGGCATGGCATTCTTGCAAGCAATATGCAATGGAGTATTATGCAGATAGTGATCCCCCAATGACATACTAGGATCCAATGACTTTTGCAGTTCGGAACTACTTTTATAGAGTAATATAGCTGATTTTTCATCCCCTTGTATTAAATGTTTTTTGAATTTGGCTGAAATATTTCCCATATTTTATTACATCGTTAAAAATTGATTTTTTTTAAAAAAAAATTTCTATAAACATGTGTTTTTCATTTAACAATCCGCTAAATATATACTATTTTTAATTTGTTATTTCGGTCAATAAATAGTCATCATGAAAAAAATCTATATTTAGTTAAAATAAAAGTAAAACTAAGCTGGACAGGGAAATATATAATATTTTTTAAAAAAATGTCAATAATTATTATTAATATTAAGTTATAAACATTTATAGATTCTTTTATATATTTTAATTTCTATGCCAATTAAAAAATAAATATGAATTACAAAAAACTATATTAATCTTTTATTTCTTGGGTTTCTTTATTTAACTTATGAAAGGATTTTATTCTCTCCCTATGATTTGTTCATGTTTGATATATAGATCTGGGAATGCATTCCGATATCTATGGTCCATTAATATATAATAAAATTTAATTTACAAATTATTTACCACTCGATTATACAATAATCAAAATCATAAGATGAAAGACTCTTTTACACGGAAGTACAACGTCTATAGGAGCAGTGGGTGGTAGGAACATGCATCCTATTTTTTTGAGGTGGTAAGCATTTGGGGGGTAGACTAGGGGTTGGATAAATTTCTTGGGGTGGGGGAGGGGTAATCTATTAAACTTTTAGATGAAGTTGGGCAAAATGTATTGCTGTAAAAATTAATAATTTACAGATGATATTGCTAAACATCGACCAAATATAAAAAATGCGCACAATCATAGACAATTTTTTCCAAATAAAAAAAATTCTGGATCAGTTTCTGCTATCCTTCTAAGGTACTTACGTGTTAGAGATTCTATCAGTAAATTTATATTCATGCCAAACATTATATTATAATTGTTATATTCTATCCCCCCTTATTTCTTTTATTTTTTTGTTTCTCCTTGTTTCTTTCGTTTTCCCATCTTCTTTTATTTTGTTATGAAATTAATATATTATACCTTATTTTTATATTGCATTTGAAACTGGTTCTTACCAGTTTCATGAATGATTATATCGCGATTAAATAACAACTTTTTCTTTCCCCCCTGGCCTAAAAATTATAAAGGTGGAAAACAAAACACCATTAATCATTAAATATTTTTTTTTATAATAGAATTTCTTTTTTTTATTGTAATTTCTCTGATTCGAATAAACTTTAAAACTTACATTGTCCAAGTGATTCCATGACTAAATCGATAAAACCCGGCCCCCTGGATCCAGTCATTGACCATCCCGGACTGTATTATTCCCCTTCAGACTCGGGGACCCATCGGTCCAAACACAACAATAATATTACCCATGTTCATAAAATGACTCTATTATGTTTACAATTTGATAGTTGTTTAAAGCATTAATAATTTAAATTATTCATTTTAAAATTTAAAAGGGAGTACTACTATAATAAAAAGGGTATAATTAATCATCTAGTTAGCAAATTTTTTAGGGGGGTGGGTATTGATTTTTTAGGGGGGGGGAGGGGGGGTTGGCATTCACATTCACTGATTATCTTGTCATATAGACTCTGGCGTACTGTATAATAAAGTATCCAGAGTTATAGAATTAACTGGAATATCGTAATTGATATATTGCTTAATCTCAGCTTTGATAATTCACTTTAAATCTGTGGCAGATTCTTTTTATTTGTTTCTCCAAAACGCGCATCTAGGTTTTTGGGTTAATTTTTTTTTAAAAAAATATATATTCGGGAAGAATTTTTGAAATAAAAAAATATATATTCGGGAAGAATTTTTGAAATAAAAAAATATTTTTATTAGTCATTTTAATTTTGCCCTAATTTTCAAAGTTAGCTATTAGATTAGACTGCATGGTGCTGTCTAGAGAAATTATAAATAGATTTATTTTAATCTTATTGTTGAGATTTTTTAATAGCTTTTAATTTTACAATAAAGCGACATCTCTTACTAATAATCTATATAGTGTCTACATGTTTGGGGTGGGGGAGGGGGGGGGCATGAGCGATTTGTCTCCTTTTTTTGAATAGGCATCGAAAGGGTAGAATAATATTAAAAAAACACTAATTGTATACTTTAGATATAATTAATTTATAAAAAATGTTTTTATTTATCAATAGATATTTATTTATCACTCATTGACAGTATATTCTCATAGTTAATGTTTGGAATATGATTACTAACAACACTGATAAAGATTGATTAAATTGTTTGAAGGTTAAAAATAGGAGCTCATTATTATTTTAAAATAATATCACGGGGTTGATAAAACAGAATGGAAAGGTAAATATTGTAGAAAGCCGCCAAAATTTGGATAGTTTTTTTTAAAAAATGTGAACTATGAGCTATTTCTACGGTTTAAAATTTTAATTATTATTAAATTTTTATTTTTATTGCATTCAGGATCAGAGGATTAACATATAAAGTTATATTATATTGTATATAAGAAATAAGAAAAGCCAAAAAATATAATTATTCATATTTTAGAATATGATAAATAAAATAATCCTCATACCACAGAAATTTAAGAAAAAGGGTTTTGAAAAATCAAAAACTATGTGAACCCTTACACTCACAGATTCAAAGTTAACGTGAATTTGCTGTAAAGCATACAAAAATTAATATATAAATATTTTATTTATATCGCATCTTGTTTACTTCGCTGCTAATTTGGACTATCTGCGAATGCAGGATTAGGTGGAGTTCTCGAAGTATTAAAAGTTTAATAGAAAAATTCAATATTTTTGTTGTGTACATAATCTCTATGAGAAATTTAATATAAATTATAAGACATTTGAATTACACTTTCTAGTAAGAGAATAAATAACTAAAAATAAAATGTATATTAACAATTTCTATAATATATAAAAACAAAAATTATTCTTATTAGTAAATAGTTCTTCAAGTAAAGCTGGTAATCTTAGAGTCGTATTGAGGAAAGTTATTAGATAAAAGTTTAAGTGGATAATGGTTTACAAATCAGCCAATTTGCCTCAATCGACAGGAAGAAAGAAAGAAGACCCTTACACTTCATTCAGTTTTTTGTATATTTTTATATACTTTGCAGCGAATTCGCGCTAACCAGGGTAATAGATAACTTAATTATGGTTACATAATCAGGTATATGACATGTGTAAAATCTAGTAAAATTGTTAGTTTTAATAATTAATGTTAAAGATAAACTAAATGACTATTTATTTTTATAATATATAATATATATCTACTTATTTGTAAATTAACAACTGTTTCAATACATTAATGATAAGTAGTTTAAATAAAATAGTATGGCCAGTTAACACTGGGCATATTACCAGTCAACATACAGTTGGACGGGCCAAAATATACTACACTTAAAAATATCCAAAAAAACATTAGATTTAAGCTTTAATTTTACCTTATTTTATAAAATAATATATTTACTACACATTATTGCTAGATTTATTTAATTAAATTAGAATCATTTATTCGCCACAAGCAAAAACATGGCCACTTATACTTGGTTATCTACCAAAGTGAGAAATATCTATTCTATAAAAAGCAGTGTAGCAGCGCGTATAGAAAATAGTTTAGCAGCATCACGAAAATTTTTAAATCCTTAGGCCAAGTACTGATTCATTTTATTTCTAAACAATCGCCTGTTTAGCTTTCTCTAAACCCTCTATAAAAGGAGAGGCTATTTAGATTTACGTAAAAGAATTGCATCTTTTTTATCTTATATTATACCAAATAAGATATATGGAATCACTCTTAAGACCTAACCCCTACCCCCACCTCAATTTTATACTTTTTATTAACGTGCAAGAGTATTGCTTTTCTTATCCATTCATCTCTATGTGCACCACGGAACTTCTTAGTTTTGAAAATAAATCGTTTTATTTTATTATCTTTCTTTCTGTCAGGTTTTGATGGCATGTTTCATTTTGATATTTTCTCTATTAGATACATACCAATTTCCGTGTCCAAATTTTAGGAAATACTATAAGCTAACATTTCATTATCAATTGATCCAGCTCATCCTTCAGGTTTATCAAAAATATATTTTGTTAAAAATAAAAATAAAAGTTTGGAATTATAGAAGACCACTTATAGCTATATTATGATTGGTCAACTAAAATAGCCTTTCCTTATGAGTTGGCGAATATTTAAAGCCCTAAGCTCTAAATTTTATTCCTTTTTTAAAAAAATCCAACATAATTTTAATTCGACGTAATTCTTTAAAATAATAAACTATCAATACGGGTCATTTAAATAATATTTTTCGTAAAATTTATTATAACAAATCTCCTATATTTATTAGAATACAAAACATTGAATAACCCTAAAAATCAAAAAAAAATTAATATTTTACATAATATTTAAGAGATAAAAAAAAATGCCTGAAGAGTGGGTTGTTGTATTTAGCCAATTCACGGAGTTAAGAAGATAGATTATATTATTGCGACATTGAAATTATAAATCTTGATTTTCAAAAATATTCCCTTTTTTGATAAAAAATATCAATTGATGTAAAAAAAATGGGTGAATTGGAAATGGTTACAAAAAAAAAGATATATTTTACTATCCCTAAGTTGTGATTAGACTTTCGTCACTAAAGTCATATAAAGAGTATATTCGGTAAAAAGTTGTGTTCACCATAAATTCGCCAAATGAGTGATGGATGTAAAAGTTGAGAAATATTAGTCTTTAAATGTGCGTTAATTATTATATAATAATATCAGTCAAAACAGATGATTTTTTTTTGTAAGCTTGGAAACTATGAAATAAAATTTAATATTTATTCTTATAAGCAATATTATTTATTTAGGCATTACAATGCTTACAAACTGAAAGGTAGAGATAAGAGATAATTGGTGTTAGTACTGTTAAAGTACCTAACTTTAGCCAACTATAAGAGCATAGCCATATTTTTATTCAAAAATATTAGAATCAATCTTCAAGTTGAGACTCAGCTTAGAAGCTTAATTCAATTTCTTAGGCTAAAAGCTTCACTAAGCTACTACAGTAGAGATGGTCAAAATTAGATAATTTAACAACACTAGATATTTATACAAAAAATTATATATTATATTTTTTAATTTAAAAAAAAAAATAGGCCCTAACGAGATTGGACTAGATAATAGGTTTTTACACAAACTTATATGACGGATGAAGGTTTTTTAAAAAAAAATGACAAGAAATTATTTATTGATTCGGAAAATATATTTTTTTTTAAAGTTATGATATATAAATTCATCATAATTAAATTGGGATGGAGAACAAAGTATTCAAAAAAATGACAGAGATACAAATAAAAGTATAATTTTTTTTTTTAAAAAAAAAAGAAGCTTTTAAAGAGATGGAGGAAGTGTAAAACAAATATTTTTTAAATTGATTCATTGATTATCACTATTCTTCCGATGCAAGACAAAGTCGAAGTCAGAGATCTAAAAAAAACATTGAAATTATAACTTATTTTCCATAATGTTTTATTAAATGTTTATTAATTTCATTTAAAAATATTATTAAGGGATTAATAAATTCATATTTTTTAACACTAATATGCTATCACGGAATGAATATTCGCTTGATCGATCATTATTCCAATGAAAGAGCTGAAATCTTAGAAAACGGAGGAATATTTTTGAATATAAAACAAACAAAAAGAATATTTGACCATAAATTTCCTCTTTTCTATTTGGTCTAAGAGTTTTTATATCTTTATATTGTAAATATAATGGGGGACCATTTTAATATATTCTATTTTTTGACGACGCTCCGACATTCTGATCGGGCTTAGATCGTCGGGAAAAAAGATTTTTTGCTTCTTTTAACCATAATAACAGCCTTAGGTCTGTCTCTAGGAAATCTAGAAGCGGACCCAAAAAATAGCACCGATTAAGACTAAAGTTCTGATACTCGATTAGAATTTGGATGAATAGAGCAGAGCTAGGTGCGTACAATAGCATATCTAAAAAATAGAATTCGTTATTCTGAAATATAACGCCATCTATATTAGATATTATTATTTAAAAAGCTCAAACAGCTAAAAGTAAATTATAATTTCTATAGAGTTTATATATAAAAAATTTCATTTTCAAAATTAAAATTTCACCGGAAATAAGAAAACACTTAAGGAGGGCTATAAAGTTATATATAATTTGTGACTCTGTGAAATATATTTTTGAAAAAAAAAATAATTAAATAGATTTAATTAAATCGTGATTTGCGACTTTAAAGGCATATATTTTTGAATCAGGTTGAGCTAGGACTCTAAAATTCGAATCTCATTAAAATAGAACAAAAATAAGTAACATGGCAGGTTCCATCTATTTCAAAGAGGTTGCCCGAAAATCTTATTGATTCCACATGCAATATAAGTATTGATGAGAGTATGCTAAAAGGGGTAGGAATTTAACCTTTATTGAACACTAAATATATTATCTCTTAATCAAGCTATATCTAATATGAATCTGATTTATATATATATACCAGAAAAATAGTGGCAAAAAATATAAATTTGTATAATTTTTAGCTGTATTGTTACTTTTATAATTGATTTATGACAAAAGTAAGTTATTAAAAATTAAGCTTAAACATCTAAAACAAGGTGTATAAATTCTTCGTATTCTTTTAACCTATATTGTCATCAAAGTGACTAATCTGTGACTGAAAAAGGATATTATGTGACAAAATATGAATTACAACCAATTTAAGAATACCCAAAAAAGCTCTTTTTTCCCCCTTTATATTCATCATTTCTCTTTTTTAATTATGTTATAAATTATTTTATTTTTTACTAACTGTAGTCTCATATCCCAAAGGTGTCCCGTATAGGTTTCCAGTAGTACCGATACCAGCCTTGACTGGTTGTGTCATAATAAACCTCGGGTATTTCTGTCTGGGTTAGTTTTAGGGCGGCCCCACCACCCTGTCCATCAGATCCGCCATTAATTTCGATGACGACAACGGAAAAATGACCCTGGGGCCAGAAGGAAAGGCGCCACTTACACGTTAATTTGAGACTCGAGGGATCTATCTCCATAAACGTGCCCGTTATGTTTTGACCTAAAAGGCTGAACCCACCCCCGGGATGAACTTCATATTGGTTCACGGGATTACGGGTGAACGCTTGGACCTATACAAAAATAACGTAGTATTATATCAAATTTCGAAAAAATCCTGAAAATTTTTTTTTGCATAAATATTTTTTTTTTAAAAAAATTAAAATCAAATTTGATCAAGAAATCCTGTTGGATCTAAATAAAATCTTCAAAGGATGATCAAAAAATCTTGAAAGATTTTTTTATTTTGAAGAGCAACTCAAAATATTTTTTGGAAATTTAATCTTATTAAGCCATATTGCATTTTGTTATAAAATTAAATGAGCGAGATCTAGCAACATAAATATTTATTAATAAAAAAAAATACCTTGTTAATGTCAGTCAGTATAGAAAATAGTTCTTCTGGGGTAGTGTTAAAATTTTCATTTTGGATCAATTTTTTGGTTTTGAACATTTGTAAATTCACCTCTTGACCATGGTTTACTTAAATAAAATTAAAAATATATATATAAAGTAATATCATTAATATTTATTATATGAAATTAATATTTATTTAACTGGAATGACATTTTCTAGTTGGTCAGTGGATCTTTATTTATACATTTGGAGAATGTGCCAAATTTTGACAAAATTTCTCCTCAATTTAAATTTTGTTTTTCCTAGTGTTTATGATCTTGTTAAACTTGAGGCATCTGAAGATCTGGGAATCAAGTCACTAACCAGTGTATGCAACTTGATTGTAGAACTAAACCTGACAATTGGCGTAAAGCATAACCCTGATATTCAAAGGAAAGGATAATCATCTACACCATGTGTAACACATAATCAAACTTTTGAAATGTGCAATGAAGTCTTTGAATGTCTTAAAGGGATTTAGTGACCAAGTCAAGACATGCAAGTTTTATATCTGGGAAGGGTACTACAGGTGCTATTTTTCTAGCAATAAAGACAACATTTTTTATACGAAAATGTAACTTTTCAATTAATAGCATGTAAAATATAAAAGATTATAAGTTTATATTTAAAATTTAATAAAAAATAAAAGGAAAACTATTAATCATTTTCTTCAAATTTTTTTGCTTATTTATGAACTAATTATATAAATATCTTCATCAGAATATACGTTAATATTTAAAATTTATTAAAAAATAAAAGGAACACTATTAATATTAATCATTTTCTTCAATTTTTTTTGCTTATTTATGAACTAATTTTCTTTGGATCAACATTAAATATAATATATAGTGTTTATGTCACTTATACTATCATTTAATATAATATAAAGAGGTCTTTTAAATGAAATATATTATATAGCTTAATAACTTCAACATTTGATCAAAAAAAGCCAAAATTTTTGCTATCTCAATGAAACCTCAGTAATACTTTTTTGGCTAAAACCTTGATTTAATCACTTTTATGTAGATAAATTGAGGTTTTCAATGACACCATTAATAACAAAATAAATGTAGTTAATATGAATAATCTACTATTATCATACATGTTAATATGTAGCTTAGTATTTTTATAATAAAATGCCATATTATTTATGAAAGACAGGAATTAATAAAATAGCCCAACAGAGTTCCCAAATATTTAAAAAAATATATAAAAATAACTTTTGTCAATGTTTTCATCATCCTTATCTAATATGGAATGTGCAACAGAAATATGTTTTTTTATATTTTGTGAGTTTTTAATATTATCATTATCTGCATTTACTTCTATCTTTTTATTTGTAGGTAATATAATATCTTTGCTAAATTCTTCTTTTAACTGTCTTATATATTCACCAATAACTTTGCGAATTTCTTTCACTCCCTGGGTTTGCATAATATGTTTAAGTTTATCTTTACTTTCCTCACTACATTTAATGTTAACATCAAGGTTTGGTTCTGTGGAATCTTTATTATCTGTATCTGAGGTTTTGAGAGAGATATCAATATCAACATCTTTTGGTTCATGTTCTTCGCTGAGATTTAAGATTTCCAAAGATCCTTTAACTTTGGACTTATCAGGTTTGTAAAATCCAGTCCAATCAGCTACTATATTCCATTCATAAAAAAATATTAATTTAGACTTCCTATTATTTGCAGTTGCTTCCCCTTCCATTTTGGTAATGTCGCCTACCTTTATAGCAGCTTTTTTAAAAAAGTTTAATTACAAAAAGAATTTATTAAACACAATACCTGTGTCATTTTCAATATATATATCAGTAAGTAGTTCTTTTAATTTACAATTTGACCAAGATGATGCATCTTTCTCCGTCCAATGCCAATTATTAACATTTTTAGCGTCGCTTCTTTCTTCGACTATCCATCTAGGATCTCCACATCCCCACTTGGCCATTTTAAATTAAAATTTAAGATGATATTACAGGAAAATTATAAAAATTGGAAATTTCTAGTAATATGCCAAGGCGGACACAAAAATATAATGTGGCGGCTGTTATCTATCATAAATCTGACAGATTTTATATACAGATATTGGCCAGTTTAAGTATAGTAATTCAAAATCACGTTAAATTTATATAATATATTTACATAATAGTAAGCGCATTATTATTTTCGCCATGGGAAATAGCAGAGTCACAATTGGACTCTCAGAAATCCAATCTAATTTATTTAAGAAATTATAGATGACCTGGGAGAGAAACCCAACCACGAGTTTATAGGCCAACTGAAATTACCTCTGTAGCAAAAGGCGAGCTACTTACTTAAACACCCGAGCCTATCCGCGAGTTTTTAGGCCGGCTGAAATTACCTGTATATGCAAGAGGCTGAACCACTTACTTAAACACTCGAAAATTAAAATGTTAGGTAAACGTATGTGGTATAAATAAAAATAATGATTATTTAAAGCTATTATGTCATTTGATTAAACGCTTTATTATCATTGACATGCACCTTAAGACAATACAATCGATTATCAATTAATATCAATAGCTGTTGTATCACATTTTTTATAAAAAGTATATCTTATAAAGCATGATTTCGTGCATAGATTTCTTTATTTACTCCGTTGATTCAAGCCGATTACTGTGGGTTGTTGTCTAATTAATCATTTATATATTGTCGCATTGATAAACCTTATTTCCTAGTTTTACAGCCCATTTGAGTTAATTTTTTAAAACGACCCGATTAATTTTAGCCAATATGATTTTTTATAAGTCTATAAATTTTGCTCATAGATGGTATGAAGGTTTGAAATTCTATTACTAAATCTCGAATCTTATATAATATAAATTTGGCTAAAATCTTAATAGAGCCGTTTTTAAAATCGCTACAAATTGGGCAGTTTAACAACATCATTAATTCCGATATTTTTAAAATTTGTCTATATATTTTCAAAATTTTAACTAGTATTATATAGAATAAATCTTTAATTCTATAACTTATTTTTAATTACCATTTTTACATACTTAAATCGATAAGCAAGTCAATATTTATTTTATAAAATAAAAATGCTAATATTCTATGAGTGTATTTTTTTTAATGTTGTTTTATTACTTTATTATATAAAATATAAATTTATATGTTATTTTTATTTTATTATTCTAATTTAAACCTTTATAAAATTTAATTTTTCTTGTTTAAATTAAACAACTTTTCTATTTTACCTTACACATCTGCTTAACTATTTATTGTATTTTCAAATAGTAATTTTATTAATCAGTTATAATATAAATTTAACCTTTTATTATTAAATTTTTATATATTTTTTAACTCATTTAACTATTCATTTTATATTACAACTTATCTTATAAATGAGATGGTATATATCTATTTTTTTTGGGAGATGATAGACTTACGCCAAATGGCGTATTAGCAAGAAATAAAAGTTATATTTTTTCTTATTTATACGCATTTTCCGAATCGATAAAAATGTTACGAAAATTTAACGAATTAGTTAAAATTTGTATTTATAATAAAATGAATGTATAAATAATATCGTGAACAAAATTTAGTAAACTATAATGCAATATGAAAATTTATACATAAATCTTTATATATCAGATTTTAGAATTTCACAAAAAAGTACTACCATAGTAATACCTTACTTATTTCCCAATATTTAACTCAAAAATAGTTCATACCAAAGGTAATAGGTTGGTATAGACAAATTTATAAACCTTTTTAATAGATTTAAAAACTCTTCTTTAAATATTAAAGAAGGAGATATAAATTTATCCTATAAAGATAATATGCTATAAAGCAATATGAAAATTTAAATTGCATAAATCTTTATATATCAGATTTTAGAATGTCACCAAGTACTACCATAGTAATATTGACTCAAAAAAAATTCATACCATAGGTAAATTGTTGATATAGACAAATTTATAAACCTTTTTAATAGATTTAAAAACTCTTCTTTTAAATATGAAGAAGGAGATATATTTTTATCTTTTAAAGATTTACAAGATGCTATAAAGCAATATGAAGATTTAAATTACATAAATCTTTATATATCAGATTCAAAAATTTTAAAATCACCTCTTTTTGAAAAATTTAGAGTTAAAATCATAAAATTTATTTGTATATTTGGTGGAAAGTACAATACAAAATCCATAGGTCTACGCAATTACATGTCTATAAAATAAGGATGTAAATTCCATTTGCAAATTACATTCATGAAAAACAAATTATTTGTCAAGGATATGCATGAAAATCACAATCATTCCCATGGTAAAGGCACATAATCTTGAAATTATTAAGATAAATATATAATTTGGATAGGCTTATAGGGTTAATTTATTAAATTTTGATAGAATATATATAAGATAAAAGTGAAATAATGTTTTTAAAATAAATGAAAAATGCATTTTTTGATTATAAAAATACTATTTAATTTTAGATGAAAATTTATACCAATCATTATCCAGACAAAGAAAGCTTAATGAAGCACAGTATAAATTTCTAGTTGAAGCTATAACTGTTGCAAATGTTGAATTAAAAAATAATAATGTTTATATATTTTCAAGAGATGTCAATCAGATTATTATTCTTTTAAAATAATATGTTTTTATTGTAAAACTAATATTTGATTCAGTTGGTGATTTTGAGATTTTATAAATATATTTATGATTTGGAATATGAATTATTTGATATCGAATTTTATGATTATACTATTGAAATTTATTAATGAAAAATAAAGATAATTTTATGGAAATAAAATTTTATTTGTAATGTAATTAGAGAAATATAAAATTAACTACAAGTGGAAATAAATCCAAAATAAAAAATAAACTATTTTCTGAAGGAAAGTTTATAACCCTAAGAGATTTGCATAATATAGACAAAAATACAAAAAAAACTTATGGTAATGATTTAATTACAATGATAGATAAAGTTAAGGAAGATAATTATGCTAATGTGGAATATATACTGTAGATGGGAATCTAATTGTTATATATTATCAAACTCATCAAATATTTTTTCAAAATATCCTGAAGTTATATGTGTGGATGCAACATATCGATTAAATAATAGGCATATGCCTGTGTATATTTTGGTATGAATTGATGGAAATAATAGATCACATATTATATGTGTATGGATTGTCAAATCGGAGTCATTTGATGTAGCATCACAAATGTTTCAAATTTTAAAAAAACTGAATTCAGCTTGGACAGATATAAATGTCATTGTTAGTGATAAAGATTGTGTTGGGAGAAAAGCTTACATTGGGGCATTCCCTCATATTCAATTGGTATTATGTAGGAAAGATGTAACCAGAGCTTGGGATAGGGAAGTTACCCACAAAAAAAAGAATATTCCTAATGAATTAATAATGTGAAGCATCTTTCGTATAGCATGCTAGATGCACAGTCTTCTGACATATATTTTGAAAATTATCACAAATTAAGTAATTTAAATCTAGAATCATTAAATAACTAATTTTCTGGCTGGCATCATATCAGATATGAATGGCCCGATGTTTGGAAAAGATATCAATACAAATAACAGGGTAGAGAGCATTATCAAATATTTAAAAATTAACATAACCAAATACTCTACCCTTCCAAATATGTTTACTGATTTAATTATGTCAATTAAAATGTTAAGTGCTGAAAGGGAACATGATAATTTATTGAAAAAAATTAAAATCTCATTTATAAATGAGGAAGATTAAACATTGGCTAATTATAGAAAATTGTTAACAGAATATAGAGTTAAAATATGAATATAATGTTGGTGATAACTGCAATCTTGTTTGCCAATCAGATATGTTTTATTGTGATAGCCCCTAGATTGGCGATTCATTCATTCAATGCATTATAAAAGTGTCCACATATTGTAATCAGCTGTAGCGCCATTTTGTAGTTTAGTTATCCATTATTTGTTAGCAATAAATATTAATATATAGAAAACAAGTCTACTACGATAATTTAGTTTTAAAGGTTTCGATTTATGATATAATATTTTATAGTATCTTTTATTCTTAAATTTTCATAAGACTTTTTTTATGAAGGTGGTCTAGGTGATTATATTTAAAAAATAAATCTAAGACTAACCCACCTTTTAATTTTTAAAAATATAGTTTAACCTAATCCTGCATGGACTTATAAATCTTATGTTAATGCATCTTAGGATACATGCAAAACAGATCTTTTAATATCACTTTTATTATTTTATTTAGATAATGGGAGTGTGCTGTGTTCATAATTGTAATAAAACAAATAAAATAGAATCTAATACACATATTTCTTATCATAAGTATATATATTATTTTTTATATGCAACATATTTATTACATAAAGCATTAATAAGCTACAAACATTGAAAAAATATCCTTATTTAGTAAAAATATAAAGTTTTCTCATTTTTATTGCTAGTACAAATAATGCTTCTTCCTCTTGAGTTGATAAGATTTCTATTTTGAACTTTGCCTAAATATTTTTCTGGATAAAATATTAAGTTAGCCATTTTTAAAATACATATTTACTATGATACAGTTTCATTTTAAATATTTGTAAGAAATATGTAAACCATATATATATTAATAGAGGCTCTGCCAATCAACATATTTTCACTGATTCAATACTATATTACTAATAACTGATCTGATATTTATATTGATTTTTATATACTATCTATCTTTGTATCAATGTCATAAATATATCTTATATTTTACTCATTATTATTCACCTATTTTTAAATATAGATTTCCATTAAAATCCAAATAATTATTGGAAAAATGGTTACAGGCTATAAATAGGAAAAATTTTATGCCTAATAAATATAGTATTATTTGTGGAAGGCATTTTAAAAATACTTGTTTCATTCATACTTTATCCGGAAAGATTTTATTGAAGGAATCAATTCCATCGATATTTAGTATATCTAAGCCACTTCATGATGTATGTTAACAATATCATTACATAGTTAAAACAATATTTTAATATGTATACTTTTTAGAAAACGAATGTTTATTCAAATAACATACAAACACCATTAAAAAGTGATATATTATATGAAAATGATCCAATTATACATATAATAAATGATCATAATTATTCCGCGACATATGAAACATTAAAAAGAAAAATTATTTACCAAGAGGCTATTATTAAACGCTTAAAAAAGGGCACATGCTTATTATAGGAGCTCAAAAAGAGGAAAAAATAAAATAATCAATTTACAAACAATAATCACTTCACTAAAAGATGAAAATTTGTTAATATTCCTTAAAACACATATACACAGTGGAGGCATCTCAAACCCACAAAAAAATATATACAAATGAATTCCGTCAATTTGCATTGACTATGCATTTTTATTCACCTAAGGCTTACAGATATCTCAAATCACGCTTTTGTATGCCTCCAGAATCCACATTAAGGGCATGGAGTCGCAAGATTGAAATCATGCCAGGTTTATTATAATAATTTAAAAAAAATAAATTAAATTAAATAAAGGTTTCCTTTCTATTTCATTTACTTAAATTAAAAGCTACCAAAAAAAATCAGAAAAGCAGTTATATTGTGTACTTAGCCTTGATGAAATGCATATTAAAACTCAAATAGATTATGGCCCCCACAAAGCAGAATATCATGGTTATGTTGATTTAGGTGATGGGAAAAAATCAACAAAAGAAGATAAATCTTGTCCAGAAGCAACAAAGGCACTGTTTCTTATGGCTACCTGTCTTAATAGCAGCTGGTAAATGCCAATAGCCTATTTTCTAGTTTCACAAATGAATTCAGATATCCTAGCTATTTAGTGAGAGTTGCATTGTTCAATCTAAATGAAACAGGAGTTATCTGTAAGGCCATAGTATGTGATGGTTGTGCTGTTAATAAAAAAATGAGCAAACTGCTTGGTGTTAGTATGGATCAGTTGCGTAGCTACGGGGGTGGTTTTCAGGTTTGGACCCCTCCCAGAGAAAAATTTTTTTTTTTAGATTTTATGTTCTAAAGACATAAAAGTGACTAATACCATTGATATTTATATTTTTCTGGTTTTGATGTTTGTGGAAGGATATTATATTACTATTGAAATTATTCTGGATAGTATTATTATAAAGTCATTGAGAATAATCGACTAAATTATAATAACATATTATTGATGCATTTAAAAAATATATTTATTATATATTATCGAAGATATGGTTATGATTTTGCATTTTATATGTATGGACCCCCTCTAAGAAAAATTCCTAGCTATGCCACTGGTATGGATCCTGATAATATCATTCCATATATTGAGCTGGAATTTTATGAATCGTAAAAAATATATATGTTACTAGATGTTTGTCATATGCTCAAATTACTTAGAAATCTATTAGCGGAGTACTAAATTTATTAATATGTTCAAATTTTCAAAATAATCATGACGATGATTTTAATTCTATCAAAACTATTTCAAATCCAATAATACCCCAGGCATTATCTTATTATTTTAGCCAAACAAATCCTCATATCACAAAATTATCATTATATTTAGATAATTTAACAACTTATATTTTGGGATATATAGTACAACAACTTATTAAAGAAAAAAAGGTACGATGTGATGTTTGCATTAATGCAATGGTCAGTGATTCATATATTGATAATAATATAAATAATATGCTCATAAATTTTAAAAATAATAGGGGGTTAGTGATTCCTTCTTCTAGTATGTCATGCAGAATTTGTGAAAGTTCATTTAGAACTTATCAAAATGATATTAAACGTAAAAATATTATTAAAAAAATGGAAGTGTTGGTTTTTTCCACAATAATTGGTACAAATATTTTTATTGATCTTACTGAACATATTAATGATGAGATTGGTTACAGCCATTTTCAAATTCTTGTAAAATTAATTGTTCAAAGGTAATCATTTATTAGTTTTAATACTATTTTTTTTAAAGATATTTAAATATTAGATTTTTTCATTTTGCTGACTTGAGAAACCAGGAATTGAGAACTGGTATGAGGCAAAATCTTACAAAAGCAATACAATTTAATAATCATTAAGTCATGTAAATTAATATTTATATCTTCTTTTATTTTTTAAAAATTATATTGTATAAAGAACAGGCCTGATATAAGACATATTATAAAAATTATGATATTATATATAATCTATGCTAATGTAAATATATTTTATTTTTTATAGGTGATGATAGAATCAAAAAGGATGAATGTTTATAATCAAAGATAATATGAATGTGAATTATCACATTATTAAAAATACATTTTGTTTTTTAAAGTGTACACATTTATATTTTTATATATTTTGTATAAACCTTATTTAAATGATTTATATAATAATTTATACTCATGCAAAAAATGTTATTATTACACTATGTTTTTATTGAAAAAAAAATAAAAGATGTTTTCATTTGTCATTTATAATTAAGATGAAATAATTAAAACAAAAAAATTATAAATGATTATTACAATAAAATTAAGTGAGATGAGCTCTCAACCCATCTTTTAAGATGGTTTAACTTATTTCATCTAGAACACATAATCCAAAAAAATTTTTAATTGACAGGATATTTTTTTATAAAATCTTATTTTCTTAACGTAATTAATTGATCTTCATCTACTTTTAGAGTATATCTTTGGTTCATCCTTTATAATAAAATTAATAAATACAAAATAAAAATAAGTTAAAAAAGTAAGAAAAAAATTAACATTGATTTCTCTTATTAGTAAAACAAAATTTGTAGATTTTATTAAATTATATCTATACAGATCTTTTATATAAATTTTGATTATTATTTTAAGGTATAAATTACTTGCCTAAAATTAAAAGTACCAGCAACTACAATAAATATTGGTGCATCATTTTTATTTATTAATAAGATATGAATCATAAAATATTATTATATTTAATAATAAGGATTCCATAAATGAACAATAAGTGGATAGTAAAATTTTTTTTGAAACATCAAGTGAATTTGATAAGCTATAAAAACTAATTTTATTAGAAAAATTAACAAATATATATAAAAAAATAAATGATTTTGATATTTGCAATTAATATGTATAAAATAAATTAGACTAGCTAATAAATGATTGGGGGTTAAATGGTTGAGGAATGTTTAAAAATAAATTTATTTTTATAATAATATTAATCAAGTAGATAAATTAACTAAAACTATGATTGAAAGAAGTATTTTCTTGATTGAGTCAAAGGAATCTGTGTGATAAGTTTTTTTGGCAATTATATATAGGCAGTGGACCTTATTTGGTTGAATATTTGAGGGTGTATTAGATATAAGTATGGAATATTTTGTATGGGTATCATTTTGGTGATTTTTGCTTCAGTGATATTGTAGCAATCTATGTTTCTAAATAATTTCTGGGTGAAAGTAATTTAATGATATTATGTACTATTATTTTATTAAATGTTGAGTTTTTTTATTTTAGAGAATACCAATGTAATTTAATTGAAGATCAGTTGAGGTTAGGATTCATTTAATTATTTTACATAATTACATTATTAACAAATTATTAGATATAAAATTGTTAAATTTTTAAAATTTATTATTATTATTGAGGCATTTGATCAACGTACAAGCTACAAAATGGCGCTACAGCTGATTTCAATAGGTGGACGTTTTTTTATGCATGATCATCAATCTATAGTTATATATATCATTGGATAGCCCCTTTTTTTAAAATATGCAATTACCATGCAGACATGTATTTATGGAAAGGAAAAAAATAATAGTGATCTTTACGATGAAAAATTATGTCATCTAAGGTGGCACAAAAATTATTTTTAAAATCCATCGACATTTATCAATAATAATAATATAGATAAAATAAATAACAAAAAAAGGGATTAAATACAAAAAAACCCTTTTTAATGACCAAATTTCTAATTATTTTAAAAATCAAAATATGCTTTTTCACACCATATCATTATTACCACCTAATTTGAAATATGGGTTTGCTCAGGCTTTTGACAAACTACATGATTTTGCTATGAAAGGAATATTACCAATTATTTCCTCAAATAATTTCAATACAAGCTCAAATGAAAATAATGGTCAGATATTCTCTAATGATACTATAGTAAATGTATTAAATGAGGATCTTACACGCTCAAACGTGGATCCTAATATACAGTAAAATAAAAATAATGTCCCAATTTTTAAAAAAAAGAAGATGTTTATAATAGTCAAGAAAATGAATGTATAAATAATATCATAAAAGAAATTCAATTACCTAAGAAATTAAATAAAAGCGGGAGACCATTAGGATTTACAATATTGGATTCACAAAAAAGTACATTGACTTTATTTATTGTTAATAGTATATTATTTAGAAAATACATACAAATCCAAAGAAAATCATATAGATAAAAAGTTAAAATTTCAACCTGACCTTAATTCCCAAAACTTTGTTGACCCAAAAATAGTACATACCAAAGGTAAATTGTTGATAAAGACAAATTTTTAAACTTTTTTAGATTATAAAAAATCTTCTTTACACCTTTTGAAGGATCTTCCAGTAGACTTAGTAGACTTTGTATACTCAGACTCAAAGTTCAAAAATTGTAATTTTATAATTATATACAGTTAATTGTAATTCTTAAATATCATGATTAATTTAATTTTTTTAAATATTTAAAGCCATAGATGACCCACTCGTTAAAATCATTCAACATACATTTAAACATTTTTCTAATCCAACTACCAATATTTGGAGGAAATATCATGCTACTCGCCTAAATTTAGCGTCAGCAAAAAGAAAGTCTCACAAAATATAGGAAGGGTGCTAACTGCTCCATCACGATTGGAAACAATTGAGCTAGATGGGAATTGTTTTTACCGGTAATTTAAAAATTTAAAAATAATTTTGGTTGTATTTTTATTACTTATATACATAGAATATAGTTTTGTTTCTTTCTTTACCTTAAATTTTAATGATTATATCCTATTTTAATTCATAATATTATTTTTTTTAAAACATTGATAGGTTTTTAGAAACAGTAACATAATTAAATTTTTTAAAAAATAATTAGATGTATAAGTATGGAGATAACAGGAAAACAAGACTCCTATGATTTGATTAGATCACAAAGGGTCTTGCTGATTCTGTAAAAGAATAGTTTTTAAATCTATTAAAAAGGTTTATAAATTTGTCTATATCAACAATTTACCTTTGGTATGAATTATTTTTGAGTCAACTAAATATTGGGAAATAAGTAAGGTATTAATATGATAGTACTTTTTGGTGACATTCTAAAATCTAATATATAAAGATTTATGCAATTTAAATTTTCATATTACTTTATAGCATCTTGTAAATCTTTATAGGATAAAAATATATCTCCTTCTTTCATATTTAAAAGAAGAGTTTTTAAATCTATTAAATACGTTTATAAATTTCTATATCAACAATTTACCTTTGGTATGAACAATTTTTGAGTCAACTAAATATTGGGAAATAAGTAAGGTATTACTCTGGTAGTACTTTTTGGTGACATTCTAAAATCTGATATATAAAGATTTATGCAATTTAAATTTTCATATTGCTTTATAGTTTATTAAATTTCGTTCACGATATTATTTATACATCCATTTTATTATAAATACAAATTTTAAATAATTCGTTAAATTTTCGTAACTTTTTTTATCCTTTAAATCTTATATCTCTTTCCTCATTTTTGGCATCGCGTTTGATGAATAACGCCATGATATCTTCTTTTATCTCTCCTAAAGATAACCTTTTAAACTCAGCCTTGACAGTCTGGGTATCTTTAGCTCCACCTGAAGCTGTCTTACCCACAATCTTAACACACCAATCTATTTTTGAACCTTTAATTAAAAAAAAATTTAAAATAATCTCATCAAACCCCCCTTTGGAGTATATTCAACTATTACAGAATGCTGACTGAACTAGTGGTATGAATGGTTGGAAGCATTACCAAGTCGTAACCTAGGTAACCTCTTATCAGATGAACAATTAAGAGTTGCCATAGGCCATCGACTTGGATGCAACATTGTTCAACCACATACATGCATCAAATGTAAAATATTAGTTGACTCCAAAGGTAGACATGGTCTAAATTGTATATATAGTCAAGGCAGGCATGCAACAATTAATTTAGCATTAGCCGTTCTCTTACCAGGGCTCGAATACCAAACATCCTGGAACCTACAAATTTATCATTAGATGATGGCTTAACTTCTGTGCCTTGGTCTTTAGGGAAATCCTTAATTTGGGACTTCACATGCGTATCACTTTCCCCAAAAATTTAAATTCTAATCCGGTTGATATAGCCGGAAAAAAAAAACTATGAAATATTCCAAACTCACAAATTATATTTATACACCGATCGTTATCTCTTCCCTTGGATTGGACATATGCCAAGCGGAACTTTAAAGTTCTCAAAAAATATAGGAGATAAGACAAGAGCCCTTACATCAGAACCAAATAACTATTTTAAAATATAATTACTCATGTTTTTGGGGAACTTGTAGTCCCACCTCCGTTTATTGTATTATTTTATTTTATATTTGATATGTTAATTTTAATATTATTCATATATACTTATAATTTCTAGATTATTATTTGATAAAAGAAAGAATTGTTAAATGCGTATAAATAAGAAAAAATATAACTTTTATTTCTTGCTAATACGCCATTTGGCGTAAGTCTATCATCTCCCTTTTTTTTATAATATATATATTTTTCAAGATTAAATTAATAAAGAAAATTATTATTCACCTTGTGTCCTTTGTTTTCAAATTATTCTGATATATGGAAATTAAATTAATTTATTTAAAAATATTTTGCTGAAATTACAGTAAACGCGTTCTGTTCAAATTATGCGGTATTTAACGCTATCGAAATCTAAGCTGATTCTTCAAATGATAATATTTATTGATATATAAATAGATAACTATTTTACAAGATATTTCAGAGATACCACCTTTTATAGGATATCCAATTATTTTTATAATTATATCACATATTTTTTAACTACATCATGTTTTTCAAATTATTTTACTTTATATGTATAAATATTACCTATTTAATGGCTTAATTTTTTTAATAATGGAGTGGTAGATACGATATTGCTAAGAACAAAACGTGTTTATTATATATTAGGTCTTAGATTTAGCAAAAGTGGTCATAAATCGAGAATTACCGGCATTATTGAACCTTACTTAAAATAGAAGGTAGGATAACTACCTCAAGATTATAGAAAAATACACCTAAAAATCGTGGTTAGAAAAATATTTGATAAGATTTCTGCAATTGAGATAAATCACCATATACATTTATCAACAAAGTCTACATTCAATTGGATAATAGTTTTATGAAAGAAAACACAAATAATTTTGTTTTTAGATCATGCTATTTCATTTAACCTAAGAAAACATTTTTGACAACATTGCATAGGAACAGATTAAATTGGGCTTTAAAATATGTAAATTGAAAAATAACAATATTTCACGATGAATCAAAATTTGATCTAAAAAGTAATAAATCTTACTGATATAGGAAAACGGTTATATTTTCAAATATTATAATGGTATGGAGTTGCAATAATGCAAAAAGCAATATAATGAATATTGTTAAATATTGGATATCCTTAAATAAATAGTGACCCCATCAATTTAGTTAACAGAGAATAACGCAAATTACATCTTCAAATTATTATTTTTTACTATAAAATTTTGGCTTAATTGCATTGCCGCACACTTTTAATCGCAAAAATGTGCAGAACATTTAGGAGCCATTGAAAAATAAATTCTCATATTTTTGCGTTTAACTTAATAAACTAAATTTTATTTAAATACTAACACAATAAATCGTTTTAAAATGTCGGGCCTGTAATTTACTACAATATATTACGCCATTTTTTTAATAGAAAATATATAAAACGCCAATCAAATTATAGGAATCATCAATTCATATTTCAAATACTTCAAGCATTTTATTTATAATACAATTTTTTTTTAAAAAAAAGATAAAATAAATAATTCCGAGTCAAAGAAAAAATTTACAAAAAAAATATTTTCAGGATGTAATATTTACATTAGTTGTATTATAGCAACCTTAGAAAATACAAGTTTATTTCACGACTAATATTAAATAATTCTTTGGGTCAGGGAGGTGTAGCATTATATCTTCAATGATGCCACATTATAAGTTGACAATCTCTGGGTATGTATCAAATAATTAAAATAGTATATTATAAATGTCCATGGAAATCTGTTCATTTCCTTATGGAATAACTCTCGGAGGAATGCTGAGTTTGATGTTTGCTCGAAGAGGGAATCAAATCGAGCAGATATTTGCGTTGATGGGGATCCGGGTTAGGGCGGTGATTGGTAAAATTATTGGAAGCGGCCATGACAGCTTTGCCTAGCGCGGAGGAAAGAAAGTGTAGGGCCTTTTCCCGCTCTTCTTGGCTTTCACGATTTCCAACCTGTAAAGTCATACATTAATTTTTTTTAAGATATATTTAAAATTTATATCCTTGAACTGCGCAAAATCGAATCGAATATTTCAAGGATTCGTTTTAAACGAGTTCGAATAATATTTGATTAGAAGCAAATAATAAATTTAATAGATATGGTAAGATAATTTTAAGTTTTTTTTAGTACTTATAAGTCAAAAATTTATCTTAATGAAATATGTTAATATTTCATTTGAAAATAAGGGTTTTTTATATAAAAAATATATATTTAATTTAATAAATATAAGTGTTGATTAGGTCAAATAAGGCTCATTTAGCTTAGTTTACGCAAGGCCTCATAACCTATAATAAAAAATGTAGATTAGGATTGATATGATCAGCTGTTAATTAATTTCCGCTAAAGAACTATCGGTATGTCTTTTTAAAGACATATGATACAGTGATATTATTAAATTTGTCTCCTAGTTATTCGTGACCTATCTGATCATGTCGTGAGTACGAATAAATTTTGAACAATTATCTATAGCGGGCTTTTCCAAAAAATTACCGGAAGTGAATAGAGCTTTCACGAGATGCTCGAATCAAGCAATCAAAACTTTTTTCGGACTCGAGTCGGGCTATAAGAGGCAGCCCAACCGGAATTAAATAATAGAAATATTATCAAGAATCTATTGTATAATCAAAATGTCATTTTTCATCTAACACGTTCCACTAATTCATTTACAGGGACATTGACCAGTAGATGGCCACAATTTTTTTAAAAGAGTAGAGATAATACACAAACAACTCAACTACCACATTTTTTAAATTTCTAAAATATACCACAAAAACTACCAAATTAAAAAATTTTTTTTAAAAAAAACCAGAGATTCATGTGTAGGGCTGGCTCGCAGCCTGCATAGGTCTAATATCATATCATATTTTCTAGCGGGTCTAGGCTGGCCTGGGTTTTAAAAAAATTTTTTAATTGGCTGGGGCCTAAAATTATTGAATTTAAATTATTTTTTAAAACAATTGCTAATTTAATGAAATATTGCCTTTTTTTCTTTTAATAATAATAAATTTCAGTATTGTAAACAAAATGATTGCCTAAATCTATTTAAATATTGTTAATTTTCATTAAATAAAAAAAATATTATATTTTTGTATATGGGCTTGGGAAATTAACTTATTATGGGTTAGGGAATTTTTTTTAACATTAAATATGAGCCGGGCTTGGGCCAAAAATTTTTTTTACTGTGGGCCTGGGTAGGGTTTGGTCAAAAAATTAAGACCCATAAAGGTCGTTGATAATATCATGTATTATGCCCAAAAAAATTCAAAATCAATTCCCTCTTTCTATTGGACCTCCACTGTTCTTAATTTTATTGTTTCATCTAATGACCAATAAAATTCGGGATTTTACATAATTAACCGTCATACCTAATTTGTATAAATTTAAATGGCAATCATTAAAAAAACTTCCTCTATATTTTCATAAAATATATGAAAAATAAATCGATAATTAGTATTTATTAAACCCTATGAATCATATTTTTACTAGCCCAATATGGGGCCGGAAAAAAAAGGGTTTGGGGGCAAAGCCGAAATTTTTTTTTTTTACAAAAATCTACCACAATCTAATAATTTTTACTTTGCAACCCTGTTCAATACGTAATTTCCATTTCCCAAAATCAACGATTTCCTGAGATTGTGATTAGTTAAATCTCTATTTATTTACATACATCATATTCCAACAGGTTAAATAAAATATATATTATATTCTTACGACAACATAAAATCTAACATCTTAATTCTGTTAAATAACAGTTATGAAATATTTTCATTTAATAATTTTTGTCTTATTTAAATCTTATTCAATTGAATAGTTTTCAGATTTTTATACTTATAAAAATTGTTTATAGAATAGATCCAAATTCAAAAATCATTTCCATGAAAAGTTTAGAACTCAAGAATATAAGGCCAAAGTAAATACAAATGGAAGTATGGAAGAAATTACAACTTATTTTTAATATACATAGTGAAAAATTCTAAAAATTTGAGTCAGGTTTGGGTAACTTTGTATGGCTCTAAGCGTGAGTAGAAATTTAGCATGAATCACAATTTTTTTTTTAAAAACCTGACTTTATAACAAGATTTTTCCCAAAAAGCTACTTTTAGATGACTATATCTAAGACGGGATTTTTTTTTAAAAAAAATTCTAGAATTTTCATAAATTTAACTTAAAAAAAATTGAATTAACTCCCAATTTTTCAAAATTTCTAACAAATTTTTTTTTATTTTATAGAAAAAGTTTTCCACAATTAAGATCCCTCCCCCCTAACCCGCCCAATTCGGTTAGCGGCGAACGATTACATCTTTTATTGATTTATAAATGATTTAATTGGCCAATTAATATTTACTGTTAAAATTTTCTTACATGATTGAGCAAGCCTCGAACAAAAAAATAGACCAGTGTACAATTCGATTTAGACCCCAGACGCATTCAGGGATGTTTAGAATTAATGAATTTTAATGGGCCAATATTTCAGGTCCCGTTGATAAGACTAAAATTTAATTTACCTTTTCTCAGTTATAAAACTACGTCTACAAAAAAACTTGAAGGGTACCTTAGTAGTGTTGTTAAACGGCTCGTTTTGAGCCGATTTTTAAGAACGGCTAACTCAATATTTCATCTAGAATAATATTACGCAAGCCTGAAGATTTTGTTTGTAGAAGGAACAAAGGTTTGGACATCTATTAGCGAAATCTCGAGGCTTAGGCAATAATTTTCTGGCTAAAATAATGACTTAGCCGTTTAACAACACTAGGGTCTAGTTATATTCTATAATCACTCTCATTTAAGGTGTAATTACGTATATAATGATTGTTAGAAAATAATTTCGATATATATGTTTTTACATACAACTAATACTAATGGCTATTTTGTTTATTATTGAAAACCTTTTTTTCTTTGTAATAACTCTTTAAAAAATTATTTTTTAAACTTAAAATAATATTATGCGAACTTAATAAATATTCACAATATCTAAATATTCGGAGATTTAAGCAATATTTCCCAATTTTTTGTGATTTATAACTTATTCCCTTGGTTGAGTTGTTGCTTATAGGGCTGTGTTGATATTAAATATCAGATGGGCAGATATTTTTTTAAGAACCCAATGCGATTTGATATTTTTTTTTATCGCTTTTGGATATTTTATGTGTATATAAAATTGATATAATTTTTATCTTATAAATAATTGAACTAAAATGCAATTTATTTTTTTGTAATGTTTGAAGAAAAAATAGTTTAAAATTTTACAATTTTTTTTTAGCTATATTATCTGTACCAAAATAAGGATCTTATCCAACAAGTAGGGCTGTGCCGATATTTATTTAAAAACCCATCGATTTAGCCAATTTTTGAAAACGTTAAGACCAATATTTTGATCAAAAGTAAATTATTCATGCATATTGATTTTTCCCAGATGGCAGAAGGGTTCGGACTTTTATTGGTAAAATTTTGAGGCCTTCGGTAAAAATGTTTTGGAAAAATTTTGATTTAGCACTTTTTAAAAATTGGTTAAATGGAGATGTTTAACAACAATATACTCACTATTAGTGTTGTTAAACGGCTCATTTTGAGCCGATTTTTAAAAACCAGAAATCTTAAGCAAGTCTGAATATTCTGCTCCATAGAATGAACAAAGGTCTAGACATATATTATCGAAATCTTGAAGCTTAGGCAATATTTTTCTGGCTAAAACATTGAGTTAGCCGTTTTTAAAAATCGGCTCAAAACGAGCCGTTTAACAACACTACTCACTATTCACTATATACATGGCAAATATTTTAAATGAGATTATTAACTTTTGGAGAATAAAAAAAAAATATACAAATCATTCGTGAAAGTAGTTAATTGGTATTTTAAAATAGAAGATAATGATATTTTTATATCAGTGATACAAAGATAGAGATGGTAAATAAAAATCAATATAAATATTGGAACGGTTTATTAGTGATATAGGATTGATGAAAAATTTGTGGATCTACGTAGCCACGATTATAAATTTATTCTCCTAAACTAGGCAAATTTGTAACACACTAAACTCAAGACTCAGCAAAAATTTTAATTGTATATTACAAATGCTTAAGTTAATCTCTGGAAATAGACCAGAAATATTTTTCTTAATTATGTACGTTATTTTTTGAAATCAATTAGATTTATTTAAAACGAGTTTTTAAAAATTCATCTTTGATCTGGAAAATGGGAGATTCAAGAAAAAAAGGATGATAATGGTTGTTGAAAAAATAAAATTTAATTATACTCGGGCTGGAAATGAAGAATTCTAATTAAGAAATTTTACATAAGCATGAGATTTCCCCAATCGATTGGTATATTAAATTTATAAAATTTTGAATTATTTTGATTCTGTATAAAAAAAAATATATAAGTGCATCATTGCAAAAATTTTAAACCTCAATTCCCCTATCCAAGGAAGTCGTAGATGGTTGATATTGCTTTGATGATCCTCTGTGATGCAACGTGTGTTGTGGCATGGATGAGAGAGGAAGGACTGACCCAGTCAATTTAGCCAGGTTCATGTTTATCCCTAATTGTGCCTTAGAAGAACCACCATTGGAAGTAGGAGTTAGCTTATTGTGGGAAATGGTATCATGTGGTTGGTTATGTTTGCTAGTTTTGGTATAGGAAATGGATGTTGAATAAGACTGAGGCTGGGATTGGTAGTTAGAAGAGGTGTGATGGGTAGCAGAGCTAGAAAGATTGGATAGAGATTTTTCAAAGGTTTTGTGGTGTTGTTGCATAAGTCTATAAATATTGGGTAGATTGAAAACATTAGGTTAATTATATTAAAAATAACTAAAAAAAAATAGACCACTAGGAGTTTATTTTTACTAAATCAAATTAAAAAAGACAAGAAAATGATACAATCAAAAATGTTCATGAACCTCTCAATCTCTTGCTCTTGTTGCAAAGCCTGTATAAAAGCAGCCTTGAGCCGGGAGGTATGCTCAGCCTTGAGGCTCTTTTTCTGATTGCAAGCAGAACAAGTCTCGCAAAGGACCTTACACCTCTTAGGTCTAAATTTGGTATTATGTCTGCCACCATTCAAAGTGGTGTTTGTAGTACCTTGGCTCTTTTCTGAGTCCAAGCCATCATTTTCTTCTTTAGCATTTAGCTCTGCATCATCGGCCAAATTTTGCCACAGAGGTGAAAAATCAGTTCCGCATTGACTACAAATATATGGTTCTATTTTTCGATCACTCTTGGCATACACAAAAGGAATGAGCCTAACTGGTTCAACTATAGTTTGCGGGTTTGTTTGTGAACTAAGGCTGCCAGGGTTATTTTGAGAATTTAAAAAATTCTTCTTTTGAGAATGTTGCCTCCGACCCAAGGTAATTAACAAGCAATGGGCAGCTGCCTCTACCCCACTAAGATACAAGAAAAAGTTGTAATTTGCTCCATTGGGTACAAATCTAAGTTGGGGGGCAGGTGGTTTTGGTGGGGGAATCTGCAACAATGTTTTTTCAAGCTGTTTTCTTAGGGCAAGCTTTGCAGCGGCTTGTTGTTGCTTGATGTTCAAAGCCACTTGTTCTTTGGTTAAAGAGTGACTATTACTGGAAGTGATAGTCTGCTGGTCTTTGCTTGGGTTAGTCATGTTACTGATGATTGAGTTGGAGCTAGATTGTGATTTGTATTGACTATTAGTATTAAGTGGTATGGTTGACATACCCGCAGAACTAGTCGAGTGGGTTACTTTATGGGAGGAGTTGTGATTGTTTATAGGAATCATTTTATCACTGGCCACAGATGATTTTTGGTGAAGGGTTGGGTGGCTAAAAGTGTGAGGAGTTGTAGGAAGGCATGGTGGAATAAGGGACTGGTTAGCACCTCCAGATATGTTTAGCATCATCATCATCATGTTGCTTGCTGCCTTTAAGGCTTCTTTGTTCATCTGGTTAACTTGATTGGGGTTAGATGTTGAGAAGTTTGTTTTGCTTAGTGGATCAAAATGGGTCAATATATTATTCATGGAGAATGTAGGTAAGGAAGAAGGGAAAGGTAGATTGAGAGAAACATTATTTGATAAGGAGGAACCCACTGATGAGATAGAAGTAGTAGAAAATGGTTTGGGGTTATTATTGACATCTTGGATGCCAGGGATCTGATTAGTTGCCAAGAAGGAAGTAAAATTTGGAGGGAGTTTACTCTGCCTCTGGCTAAGTTTAAGTTTCTTTAGCAAAACAAGTTTAGCCTCCTCAGCATAGAGGGCATCAACTAAAGGTTCAACTTCATTGGCGAGATCTGCAAGGTCCATTTTACTCAGATCATTAGAAGTGTCTTCTAGTTCTGGATCTGTCCCATCTTTGGGAAATGTATCTACACTTAATTTGTGTTCATCAATATGATTGGAACCCGTTATGTTCAACCAATTGGCAGGCATATCTAAGTAGTTTCTGAAAGTTTTATTTGGAATTGTGGATGACAATTTGGCGTTAGATATTAATAGTTTTGTAGAACCCATTCTTTCATTGCTAATACAGCAGAGTTTTTTGTGTGTGTTATTATAGTTAATGCAATTGGTGCTATTCATTGCATTATGCCTTTGGAACCGGGATCCCCCCATGGCTATCTTGAATAACTCATCCTCGTTTAAATCCTTTCTCTTAATGGCTGCAACCCTTTTGGAAAATCTCTTGGAATTGGATGTAGTAATATTGTCATCATTTTTGTCATTGTTTTCATCATTTTTGTCATTGTTTTCATCTAGTGAGTCATTCAATTCATTTGGTTTGTCAAAGTGATTATAAACGGTTGGCTCTCCTGGCATTTTTATGAAAGGTGTGGGTGAATCAACATGTTGTCTAAAATAATTTGATATATAAAATTTACTAAATCATATTGTTAAATACAATTCTAGTATATTTATTCTATCCATATATTCAATTATTTATTATTTTAATTTGAAGTTTCAATTTAAAATTCATTCCTAATCTCATACCTTTCGTTAATTAAATAGCATTCTTGATCTTTATTGACATTTGGTATAACTTCAACTACATCCATTAATTTGTTTGAATAGATGTATTTTCTAAATGTTCATTTATCTGTAATATGATAAAAAAAATTATATCACTAAAATGTCAAATTATTTATATAATATTTTGATAAGGAGTTAAATGAATTAGAACAAGTTGTTCTAAATTTGACTAAATAAATTATACAAAATCAAATCAGTTAAAAATCGTAAATCAACAAATTCCAAATCACATAGTAACAAAATTATTCAAAACGTGTGGGGACTGAGGTGACCAAGAAGAATGGAATTCTTAAAATCTTTCATTCTTAGTATTTTTTTAAATTGTAAAATAGCAAATGTAATAAATAAAATAAATATCAAGTCACAATAAGTTAAGATTGTGAGCATTAGATAGCTAAATTTCAATAGTGAGGTTTAAACAAGGAAATGTCACATATATTTTAAGGTAAACCAAAAAATTCCGAAAAAAATTTGATGCTATACTTAATATTTAGCGCATGCGCTTTAGTGATAAATAATATTTATTTTAGTAATTTGCCAGATAAAAAAAAAATTTAACGCTTCCATTTATAAAATAATAAATGTCGTTATCTATCATCGATTTATTAACCTAAAAATCATATTTAAAAAAATTGATTTAATTAATGATTTGAAGCCATTATTTGAATAAAACAATGTTCGTTAAAGTAAATTAATTTGGGCACATAGGTTCTGATAACTAAAACTTACGTTCATGAATAAAGAATCACATTCGCTAATTATTTACATAAAATTTCTCATGATTAATAATAATTTAATTTAGCATCAATACGATTATTTATTAATTATTGATCAAATCAAAAATCAAACCAAATAATTATGCATCTTAGTCAAAATTCAATATGGCGTTTTTTTTTTAATTTTTCATTATTTTTTTTTTTAAAACACAAAAAATTAATGCGTTAATGATAAATGAGGAAATTACCTATTTTAAAAGTCCGGATTCCGTTATTTATTTCATCATTATTTATTTATTATTAATAGATTTGTTTACCAATAAATTAATGATATGCAAAAATAAACAACAATAATGATAGAACTTTTGAATTATTGCTAAATTTATAAATCAACGGAACTGTTCATAGATTGTGGAATGGTTAAAAAGAATTTTAAAAAAAAAATTTACTATAAGATTAAAGGTAATAAATTACCAAAAATTATGTATTTTTAAAATTAAAGTATTTATTTATTTTTTATCAAAAAAAAATTAAATTTATATTTTCATAAATTATAATAAATAAATAAAATCACAAATAAAATATAAAAAAATCAACAAAACTTTCGTATTTATTAAAAAAAATAAATAATATTTATTTTTTATTTTTTTAATTTAGCGGACGATTCGATATTTTATACCGGCATTCGTCACGTGATCCAATTTTTATTTTATTTATAATATTTATTTTATTTTTTCGAAAAAACAAAATCAGCCATTTTAATTTCCAATCAATGCTCGCTCAGTTTTCTTCATTGTTTCGTTCCCCCTTTACATTCTTTTCTTTCGTTCGTGTTTTCTATTTTCTTACTTAATTCTATTTAACTTATTTCTTTTTTTTTATATTTAAAGATTTTACAAAATTTACCACGTTACAAAAAAAATTAAATAAGGTATATAAAAGAAAATCCCCTAATAAATGAAATAAAGTAAAGAATGCGTGAAATAGAAAAATGAAATACAAATATAAAAAGAAAGACGGCAAGAAAAGATAAATGACCTAAAGTTAAATAAAGAGAATAAGATGAAAGATATTTAGGATCGATTTCAAAAACCGGTTATCATTTTGGAATCTATTTATCTTCTTATCCTCCATCTTTTTTTCTTATTATTTGTTTTTATTTATTCCATATAAACATTTAATTATTTATACAAAATATAAATATTGAAAAATATTCTCCAAATTAATCCTTCTAAATTCTATCTGAATATCTCACCAAGTTTTATTGAAAAAAAAAAAATGTAAACGTTTACATAGTTAGTTAACCCTATTTCGAAAAAAAAAAACTATCATAAAAAAAAAAAATCGTTTTTAAAATGAAAGAAATGGAGAAAAGTAAAAAAGAATGAGAAAGAAAATTGAATGTGTCTGGCAGTGGCCACTTAACATATTTATAAAGGTCAATGGTCCGGTTGTATCTTATTCGGATAGTAACGTAGTATCCGTATTCGAAATCAGGATCATCGTCCGATCATGACCCAAGATGTTTTACTCTCATCATGATGATGATTCACTCCATTGGCGTCCTGGACAAGAAAAAAAAAACGCAAAATAATTTAATTTTTTTTTTCAAGGAAAGTCGTTTAAAAAACTAGTAAATATTGTTTTAAAAGAAAAGTAAGCTCGACTGAATCCCTAGAGGAAAAAAAATAAATGGAATACTGAGCCAAATTTGGATGGGGGGGGGAGTGAGTTAGGAAAATCTTGGCTTAACCACACTATTATATTTATCATGAATTTTATGGTGAAATTTTTTCACTTTGTATTTTTTTTTTAGTGGAATAAAACAAAACGTCCCGTCTCATATGGTCCATTCAGCTGGTTGTTCCGAAAATATCTTTGTGCAAAATAAATTTGCGAATATCAAACATGTCAGCTATTCGATTGGAAAGAAAGCTGAGAAAATTTTTGGAAGAATAGGGTACAATGTGCCATTTTTTTGTTGTTGATAATTATCCAATCTTTTTGTAAAGCTACAGCATAAATATAGCCAGGAGACGGGGGGGGGGGGGGGTAGAAGAATTTCCTCATGTGCAAATTTTCAAGTCTAATAATAATTATACCACCTATATTTCCCCACCTCCGTTTTTCTCTCCTGGGCATCTTAAAAGAAATGAAATAAGTGTAAAAACACAAAATTATTTTTCTCAAAAAATGAATAGTAAACATTGGGTCCCAACAAATATGTCAGCCACCCAAAAGCACCCTCTTCCTTCGAAAAATTCTGGTTATATATACCCTTATGAACTACAAAAAAAAACTCTTAAAAAACAATAACCCGGACTCGCTTTATACAATCAATCTCTAAATACTAACGTAAACAATCTCGCCGAATGACTCAACCGGTTGATAACTAACTTGGAGATCGGCTATATCATTTTTGGCGGCCCTAGCTCACCCGTAGTCTGATGACCTTTTTTTAGGTCTACGTCCCTGATCGTGGTCCCGTTAAGCTCGCGGCTCTGGAATTTTTTCAAATTCATATATTAAAAAAAAACCCACAAACTCGAAATAAAATATTCATTAAATTTTAAATATAAATAATGGTGGAATAACTTATTAATTACGAAAAATGACATGAATATGGAATATATTTGTGAACGGTTATATTATTCAGTCATGTAAAAAAAAAATATAAGAATATGAAAGGTAATATAACACTAATATTTTATCGGGTAAACTGGGCCAAACCTATATTATATTTATGTTTGACCGGTTGTCAGCCGGATTGACGGTCTGACCCTACAGGACTGTTTCGAAAGAATTTTTAAATATTTCTATTTTTTTTACTTTAAACATATTTATATTATATATTTATAGCATAGCCTAAATTCGGCAACATATTCGGATTTTATTTTATCTCGTATATTTCGCAATAAATCACACAAGCTATTCGCCGAGCTAATTTTCGTTTCTTCATAACTTATTTTATTTCAGGCCCTTTAACTATATAATGGCCCACAATTTATAGAATCGAACATTTTGATTGACATAAATAGCCCAACGTGCCTCTGTCCGAACGTGCCCCGAGTCCTCAATTATGACAAACAAGACAGAAACCATAAAATTTATTATCGTGGATATTAAAACTCACACTGATGATAAACTATAGGCATTAAAAATTTTTAATTCGATATTGACAGTGACATATTATATTCAAAGTATGTACTGATAAATATTAGAAATCTAGAGACAGAGTTGACATACAAGTAATATTTTACGTCAATCGATGTTATAGCTATTTAAACCCGCATTCCTTTTGATATAATATGATATGGTCCTCCGGACTGCGATCTCCAGCACTCTAATATTATTATTGTTATTATTATATTTATTAAAAATCATGATGGAATAATTTAAAAAAAAAAGATTTTTTTTTTAACCTCAACTCTCTTTAGGATTAACAGTTAGAAATCTGGTCTTACCAGCACGACATCGCCTTTCATCAGGAAGAATGTTATCAACATCAAACAAGAGTCTATAAAAGAACGAAAGAAAAATAAAAACAGAAACCTGCAGACCCCAGCCCTAAGCCCGGCACGGGGCCGAACCGTATTTTAATAATTTTAAATATAACCGGTTCGGGCCTGAAAATTTTTTTAAAAAAAATAGCCGGTCCTGACAGGGCCGTATATTTTAAAACCAAATATTTGAAATCGCCATTATTAACAAAAATCAAAAATAAATATAATATATTTTTAAAAAATCCGAGCCGGGCCGAAAAAAATTTATGGAAAAAAATACGGGCCGGGTGGTGCAAATGTTACTTCAGCAAGTCTCTGATAAAAAAATATGAATAAATGATTATTTCTTTTTGATTATCATGATCTTTAAAGTGTCTATACCCAGTAAATTTTAGACAATCTCTTAATTTTTACAAATTTTTATATATTATGTAAGCTTCCATGAGTTTTTTCTCCGTTCAATATGTTTTTTTTTTCAACTTTGAATCCCAATGACATATAAAAATACCTGGACTGACGATGCATTGATTAAAATTGTACATCAATGAAAACAGATGGGGACGTCATTTTGATTACCCATATCATTATCAAAAATTTTATAACGAGAGGCCAATTTATTCCTATATCTGACTTAAACTTTATCAAAGAATAGCCTGATCATCGAGATTAATAAGGAAACAAGTTATCAATTTTATAGTAGTTTTTAACATGAGAATAATTAACTATATGGGTTACCAAAATGGCGGGGCCAGCTGATTTGCATTCAACGGCCCTTTCAAATGCATTATTATGAATGCATCGTAGGTCTAGGTTTTATTATATGTCATTGAAATTATCTTACCATATGAATCAGACATTTTTTTTATCATTGAATCTTAAGTGATTAATAACTTGTATTTAGAAGCACTTATATCTAAAACTTTTGCATTATTTCAAAGGTTTAAGAATAAAAATTTACTAAAAATCATAGAACAAGTATTCTACGCATGCGCGAATAATACGTTTCCGGTATAATCAATTTTTTAAAAAATTTTTAAAAGATGGCGCTCAAAAATTGATTAAAGATTTTTATAAAAAAATATAAACGTTAAAATAAATAAACAAACATGGTCAAATTTGTTTATTTTTGACACAGGGCAGGAAATCTATTCTAGGGGTCTTTCAAAATTCGAAAAACGCGTTCTTATAAATGATTAAAGTTATCTACTTAAAACCCCGCAAATAAAGGTCACTGGGATATATAAATAGATAATATAAAACGAATCTAGGAAAATAATTATCCGAAAAAATAATCCCCATTTTATTAAGATATTAAAAATTACAAAATAATATAAAAATAGGAGAAAAAATTCCCTTATAAATCCTCGAAAAAAATGTTTAAAAATTTTAAGAAAAATCAATTCCGGGGAAATTAATTTCTAAGAATTAATATTGGGGATTTATTTTTTCAGTTAATCATTTTCCGCTTACCATAAAACGCGTCTCAAAGAATCTACGACTTAAATGGAAATTTTTTAATTGGATGAAATATATTTTGAGTTAATAAGCAATAGTTTTAAGATGATATGGGTTAGGGTTAACCTTGAATTCAGTGGCGCAATTGCGATGGCGATTTAACAGCTGATTCTATTTTTAAAATCTCATTAATATTAATTTTACTTTTAATTCAATTCATAATAATAATATAAAGAAATAATGATTTTGATAACAAAAAAATTGATCTCATAAAAAGATTTTAAAAAAACCGTCAGCTGCTAAACCGCTATCGCGCTACTATGATTTCAAGATAAGATTTAAATGAAACTTGTCACATCTGACAGGTCACGTGATTATCCATGGGTTGGAAATTGTTTAATATTAGCCTCACCGA